GCTGTTTAAAGTGCTTTTTGTCCCAAAGACTGTGCATCGTAAATGACGAGCTATTTGTGCGGAATGCCAGCGCTGATGAGATCCAGAGAGCCTTCGCCATGCCTGCACCTACACCTTCCTCCAGTCCAGTGCCCACCCTGTCCCCAGAGCAGCAGGAAATGCTGCAGGCATTCTCTACCCAGTCTGGCATGAACCTTGAATGGTCCCAGAAGTAAGTGCTGGGCATGTGTAAGAATAGGGGTAAATGCGGGATCCCTGGGTGGCGCAGCGGTTTGGCGCCTGCCTTTGGCCCAGGGCACGATCCTGGAGACCCGGGATCGAATCCCACGTCGGGCTCCCGGTGCATGGAGCCTGCTTCTCCCTCTGCCTGTGTCTCTGCGCCTCTCTCTCTCTCTCTCTCTGGGACTATCATAAATGAATTAAAAAAAAAAAAAAAAAAAAAAAGAATAGGGGTAAATGGAGGTAGGGGTGGGAATGAGTAAGGAGTGCTCCTTGGGGGATCCCTGGGTGGCTCAGTGGTGATCCTGGAGTTCCGGGATAGAGTCTGTCCCGCATTGGGCTCCCTGCATGGAGCCTGCTACTACTCCCTCTGCCTGTGTCTCTCTGCCTCTCTCTCTCTCTCTCTCTCTCTGTGACTATCATAAATAAACAAAAATTTAAAAAAAAAAAGATTAAAAAAATTACCTTAGTAATCTTGATCCATTATTTAATACTTCTTTGTATCCAATAGACCAGTGATAGACATTTGGATTTTTACTAATTTTTCATTTGTAACACATAGTGCAAGAGTGTATACAATTGTTGGCACACATGGTGGGGGTTAATAGGGTGGATTTTGAAGTGGTCAGGGTGAGTGCATTATTCTGGTTCTGATGGGGGGTTCCTGCTCTTCCCCCACTCCAGGTGCCTTCAAGACAACAACTGGGACTACACCAGATCTGCCCAGGCCTTTACTCATCTCAAGGTAAGTTTGGGGACTTCAGCAAAAAGGCGAGGGATCTCTGGGCCTTAAGAGGTCAAGCCAGGGGAGGGAATGGGAGAGAGGGCCTGGATCTGACCTTCTCTTTTTCTCTAAGGCCAAGGGCGAGATCCCAGAAGTGGCGTTTATGAAGTAATCTGTAGTCCTGCCCCAGAAGAAGCTCCCTGTAAAATAGCCCTTGGATAGTGATGTCTCCTTGTCATGGCTGTCGTCTCCTCTCTGGCCCCGAGGCCACCCCGTGACTGTGACTCAAGAGGAAGGGCTGCTGGATCCCTCTCCTCACCTGCCTTCTGGAAGACTTCTGGAAGCCTTCCAGAAGATTGAGCCTCACTGGTGCCAGGAAGCCAAAGCTTACTTTGTAGAACTGACACTAAACTCCCCGAAGGACTTAGGTGCTCTGTGTACTTAACCCCCAAACCTGCCCTACTTTTTAAGATAAAAGAGTGATATTGTATTTTGTGTCATGCTTGCTACATTGTTTTTGCCTCGCTCTTGCCTAGTACGCGCGCGGGTCTGGGGTGAAGGGCCGCCACCCTGTTCCCGCCAGGGACTAACCCGGACCAATTGCCCGGAAGCTCAGGGGCGGGGCTTTCCAACCGGAAGTCCTACCCCGGAAGCGGCGCCGTAGCCGAATGGGCCATGGGGGCACCTGGGGGCTTGTGTTCCGTGCGGCTACTAGTCGCCCTGCGGTCCCTGCCGGCGCGCCAGCTCCTGCACGACGTGGCCCCGCCGCGGGACGTGCTGCTCTTTGAGCACGAACGGGGCAGCTTCTTCGCCGTCCTCGGCCTGTTCTGCGCGGGCCAGGGCGTCTTCTGGGCCTCTCTGGCCGTGGCAGCCTTGGCCCGACCGCCGGCCCGGGCGCTGCCTCCAGACGCCGAGATCCCAGACTGCGGCCGCTTGGACCTACGCTCCACACTCTGGCGCTACGGTCTGGCTGTCGGTTGCGGCGCCATTGGTAAGGTGCGGGCTGGCTTCCCGCCACGGGGACGTGGGGCGGCAGGGCACGACCCACCCTGCTCCGGCACGGACGGGGCGGGACTCCCGACCTTCAGGCTAGGAGGAGCTGTGCCCCTCATTCTGCGAGCTCTGGACCTGTCTCCTTGCCTTTAAAACGAGGGTGGACATGAAGGTTGTTGGGGGGGGGGGGATGAACACAAGAGTCACGTAGAAGAGTTCGGTAAATGTTACTATCATCACAATTTTTTAATTCGGAGGGCACTGGAAAGGTTGTTACTTACCTCTCCAGTGAAAACCCCTCACCCCAAGCTTTGCTTTTCCTGCAGGTACCCTGGTACTTGGTGCTGGTCTTCTCTTCTCCCTCCGTTCTGTGCGTTCAGTGATGCTCCGGGCTGGAGGGAAGCAGGTGACCCTCACCACTCATGCCCCCTTTGGCTTGGGTGCTCATTTCACCGTCCCTTTAAATCAGGTATCCTGCATGGCCCACCGCGGTGAAGTCCCTGCTATGTTGCCTCTAAAGATCAAAGGCCGGCGCTTCTACTTCCTCTTGGACAAAGCTGGACATTTCCCCAACACAAAACTCTTTGACAATACTGTAGGTGCCTACCGCAGCTTGTGAAGAAACCACCTCCGGTCACTCATCCCTCCCAGAGGGGAATAAAAACTGAACCTTAGGGATGGGGTGACAACCAAGGTCACAAGGGGGCCCAAGGTTCATTAGCAAATAAAAGGGTGGCCATCCCAAGGGCAGCTGATGGTACCTCTTACTTCTGTTCCTTGTCTGTTGAGCTTTCACCATATCCTCCCATCCACCTGCCTACAGTGCTTTAACATCAAGAACTCAGTACCAAGTTGAAGGGAAAAAGTAATATAATATTTTGGTACAAAAACAACTGTAGGAAGAGAGGTGGAGGGGGCCTAGTATCATGTTTCCCTCGTGGAGGGCAAAGGGGCTCCCAGTATAAACAGGGCCACAAGGGGGCAACAGAACTGTAGGCACTTGGGCACCGAGTCTTAGGCTGCAGGCAGCATCCTTTGGTTACTCTTCAGGAATGGGAAAGGCGAGACCCAACGAGAGCATCTGTCTCAGAGCTCCATTCAGGGTCCCCCTGCTCCAGGGGCCGGTATGGGGTGGCTTCAGACTTCCACTGCACCACCTGAAGCACCAAGACCACACACCACAAAACCAGATTCACCCAAGAAGAGGTCTGTGGGAAACAGGAACAGGAGTGTGAGGAGTTTGGCCATCTTACCCACTTCCACCCACATACCGCTATTCTCTATTCACTGTCAGGTCAAAAGCCTTTCAGTCCCTTGGAGCCTCTTGCTTCAGGGCACCCCCACAACTACAGATGCCTCCAGGAACCTGCAGACCCCTGGGTCTCCACCCGGTCTTTCATATCCCAGGACCTCACTTCAGCATTGTGTAGGTTGGAGTAAAACTGCAGGGCGGTTCCAGGGGGTGTCCATGGAACTTTCTGGGCTTCGGAGCAGCTGTGAGGTCAAAGAGACAGTGGTGAGAAAGAGGGTTATAGGCTCTCCTCTGCAGAAGGAAGGCCATCAGCCCCATCCAGGGTTCCCTCCCTCTCCCATTACCTAATTGTAACGTTGAGGGAGACGACGGATTTGCAGAGAGAACGGGTGCCAAACCGAAGGATACAGGCAGACACTAAGACCAAGAAGATGGCTATACACGAGATGACCAATGCAATGCGGAGCCCTATGGGGCCTCTAGGAGGAGGGAGAGAACCAGCCTTGTAGTTGAGATGGGACTACTCCCAACTCAGCCCCCGGCCGAGGGTAGGGCAGTCACCTGTGGGAGTCCTCGATGCAGCTGCTGTAGACCCAGAAGAGTAGAAGCAGGAGACAGTAGAGGGCCAGGAGGCCAGAGACCCCAGCCACAAAGTAGCAAACGGACGGGGCCGAAGGTTGGGATAAGGCCAGGAAGGAGCCATTCAGGGTGGCCACACCATACAGGGGACAGCAGCCACTGAAGGAGCCCTGTGAAGAGAAGCTGCTGATCCCTACCTACATTTCAGGTGAAAAGCCTTGGCGCAGGCTCAGGACAGGTGTGAGGGATAACCTAGGAGAGGGCCACCCTAGGAAGTTCTATATGCACTGTCCACAGACTGATGGCGAGGGCCTGCTGGGGAAGTCAAACCTGCAGTGGCCAGAAGGATCAGGAAATAGGCGGTGGTTATAAAAGACAGTGAGCTTCGGAGATGCCTCACAAGTTCTGGTCTTCCCTCTTCAGAAATCCTAGAGTAAAACCAGAACTTGTGTAACCTTCGGCTCTCTCCGACGTCTTCTAATCCGTAAAATCAAAAATTCCTAACAGTGCCTACTTTATGGTACATGAGCCTGTGTTTGTGAACAGGACTGCCGGGCTGGGGAAACCCTCTGCTGTACGCGGGCGTTTTCTACATGGCTCTTTTGTCCTTCACACACACTGGGCTGTAATCGTGCGGTAGCCTGGTCGTCGCCGCCACACCGAGCTTTATTTCCTGGCAGGGCTCGGCACAACAGTGTCTGATTTAAAGGATGAAGGCAGGGCCAGGGCCGACTTCTGTTGCAGAACCGGGTAAGTTAAGCAGCCGGGGCAGACAGGCCGGGCTACGTCTGGTGCCGTTAAGTCACTCCTGAGGACTCGTCCCTTTGGCGAGGGTACGGCTGTGAAGCAGCACACCGGCGGGCGGAGCCACAGAGCGCCGTGGGCGCCGAAGCATCCCGGCCGCAGGCCGGCGAGCCCTGGGCCTCACCTGGCCCACCCGCTCCAGGAGCAGCCCGGCGGGCCCGGCCCCGCCGGAAGACCGTGCCTGCCTCCCCCACACCCCTCGCCGCCTGCCCGCCCCCAAGGCCGGCCCCGCCCCGCCCCGCACCTGGGTCCGGGTCAGCGTCGCGGCCGCCACGGCCCCGCACAGAAAGGCGGCCGTGAGGAGCAAGAGCTCGAAGCGCTGCGGCCAGAGCAGCGCCATGGCGCCCCCGCCAGCAGGAAGCACGGCCGCGAGAGCCAACCGCCCAAGCCCCGCCTCATCCGGCACGACCCACGAGCGACACACGTCACTTCCGGCACCGGGCTTTATTCACACAAGAGGCCCCCGCTTTAGAGCGGAAGGTACAGCGAATAGTCCGAGAGCGCCCAGCGGCGGGCCGGGCGGCCGGTGCGGCCGATCATGGGAAGCTTCTGCACGTAGCGGGAGGCCGGGCTGGGCCCGTACGGCACGGGGAAGGCGGTCTGGAAGAGACGCCCGCGGCACCGCCTCCCGGCCTGCCGCCCCGCAATAATAAAACGGAAATAAGGGGCGCCGCGCGGGGCGAAGCGGCTCTTCTGGAAGACGTCACGCGTGCCGGCGCCGGGCCCCTGCTGCCGGGGCGCCCCCCGCGCCCGGTGCACGCGCGGAAGCGGCCGGCTCTCGGAGGCGGCGGGCGCAGAGGCGGACGCGGGGCCGCCGCCGCGGGGGCTCTCGTCGCCCTGCGGGCTGACCATGGCGTTGGCCGTCAGCTGTGGCATCTTCCGCACCGAGTCCGGGGCGGCCGCCGGCTCCTTCTTGTCCCCGGGCGGCCGCAGAGTGGTAGGTGTCGGCTGACCCGTGCCAAAGCGGGTAGCCAAGCTGTCCCCGAAGAAAGCGTACAGCTCCTGGTAGATGTCCGCCAGAGTCACTGAGGGGGAAGGATCCTCCGGCCCCGCGCCTCCTGGCGGTAGCGGGTGCACAGACCCAAAGCCTGGCTCCGCACTGCCTCCGGAGGGAGACTCCTGCAGGAGCAGGCTGTCCCAGGGCAGGTCGTCTGAGCTCCGGAACCCCCTGCCGCTTGGGCCTCCCTTGTTGGGCTCTGCCGCCTGGGCCTTCATCTTCAACAGTCGCTCTACAGCCACCTGCAAGAGCAGAGGGACTGGGATAGGCAAGAACTAGGAGGAACCCGGGCCCATAAAGATTTAGGGCAGGGGAGCTGCTGAGTTCAAGCAGGGAAGAAGGGAGGCTGGAAGGGGCAGGCACCCACCAGAATGGCTCCATAAACCTTGTGCCCATCTGCTTTAACCTGGGCGTTAGAGACGGAATAATCATCTAGCACAGCCTGCAGATTTGTCCAGTAAGTGGACAGGTGTGGGTACAGGACTCGTTCCACTGCCTGGAAGGGAGAGAAGGAACACAGTAAAGCACCTCTTTGTTGCTTATTGCCTCTCAAGTACCCTTTCCCATGGAAGACCTATTTTTATCTCCCATATGAAATTCTCAGCTTGGTATATTCCACCAGCATTTACTGGGAACCCGCTGTATGCCCAAGCCTTTGCTAAGCACTGGGAATAAAGGTCAGGTACAAACAATATAAAGTGACCCTATGATCACTGACCTGTATGACAGGGGCTAAGAGGGTATAGGTAATGCCCATTGCTAAAAGACCAATTTAATTTGCCAACTCTTAGCCTATATAGTCAGTAGGCATGTTTACATCTTGCTGAGGAAATAGACTCAGTTCAAACCACTTGCACAAAACCAAACAACTGATCATAGACCTGGACTCATCATGCCAAATTTTAAATCCTGTGATTAATTTTCAGGAAAGCAATTGAGATTTCACAGAGGAGACCTCTGTTACGTGCTTTGGTGGGTGAGAGTTCTTCGGTTGGTCATCCACAGCCTGAGGATTTGAAATGTTAAATCAGCAAGCTCCTAGAGAAATAGAACTCACCACTGCCTCAGCTATAAAAACTTAAATAATTTTCTAACTATATGGGATGCCTGGTGGTTCAGTAGTTGAGCACCTGCCTTCAGCCCAGGGCGTGATCCTGGAGGCCGGGGATGGAGTCCCACATCAAGGTCCCTGTATGGAGCTGGCTCTCAGCCCGAGATCACGCCCTGAGCCAAAGGCAGATGCTCAACCACTGAGTCACCCAGGTGTCCCTAGATTCCTTTTAAAGTCTATACTATAGGATAGCCCCGGTGGCTCAGCGGTTTAGCACCGCCTTCGGCCCAGGACATGATCCTAGAGACCTAGGATCGGGTCCCATGTCGGGCTCCCTGCATGGAGCCTGCTTCTCCCTCTGCCTCTCTCTCTCTCTCTCTCTCTCTCTCTCTCTCTGTCTGCCTCTCTTTCTCTGTCTCTCAATAATAAATAAAATCTTAAAAAAAAAAGTCTATACTATAGCCTATTTATCTTACAAATGTAATGGTGATTTACCATTAAAATTCTATAAATAAGGGCATCTGGATTGCTCAGTCCTGACTCTTAGTTTCCATTTGGATCAGGGGGTGAACTTAGGGTCACAAAGCATGGAATCCACTTGAATCGACTTGTCCCTCTCCCTCCGCCTCTGCGTCTCCCACTCCCACTCCCTGCACTGTTCTTAAGTGTGCAAGTTCTCAAAGATTTTCTTTTTTTTTTTTAAGATTTTATTTATTCATAGAAATGCAGAGAGAGAGAGAGAGGCAGAGACACAGGCAGAAGGAGAAGCAAGCTCCATGCAGAGAGCCTGACATGGGACTCGATCCAGGGTCTCCAGGATCATGCCCCAGGCTGCAGGCGGCGCTAAACCGCTGCGCCACCGGGGCTGCCCTCAAAGATTTTCTTTACTTAGAGAGAGGGTGAGAACTTGGGCTCTCCCTAAATAAAGAAAATCTTTTTTAAAAATCCATAAATCTGGGCAGCCCGGGTGGCTCAGCGGTTTAGTGCCGCCTTCAGCCCAGGGCCTGATCCTAGAGACCCGGGATCGAGTCCCACATCAGGTGCCCTGTATGGAGCCTGCTTCTCCCTCTGCCTGTGTCTCTGCCTCTCTCTGTGTGTGTCTCTCATGAATAAATAAATAAAATCTTTAAAAAATAAAATAAATAAAAATCCATAAATCACATTAACGGAAAAAAGCAGACAAACCTTAGGATCAATTCAAAAGATACAGAAAAAGCATTCAATAAAAGTTCAACATAAATGATAAAACCAAGAATATAAAGCAATATGAAATAATTCTCTTCATCGGAGAAAGGTTATCAACACAAGGTACATCAGCCTAAGTGGGAAGGTTATTAGCACTTCCCTTAAAATTGGAAATGATACAAGGATGCCCCTTATCATCATCTTTAAAATATTAGTAGTCCCAGCAATAAAGTAAAAAATTAAAGGTGTTAGGTTTAGATGGAATAAAGCTTGTCATTATTTCTACTATATGACCTACATTAAAAATGCAAAAGAAGGGACGCCTGGGGGGCTCAGCGGTTAAGTGTCTGCCTTCAGCCCAGGGCGGGATCCTAGAGTCCCGGGATTGAGTCCCACATCGGGCTCCCAGCATGGAGCCTGCTTCTCCCTCTGCCTATGTCTCTGCCTCTGTCTGTCTCTCATGAATAAATAAATAAAATCTTTAAAAAAAAAAAAAAAAAAAAGAATGAGGTGCCTGGCTGGCTCAGTGGGGAGTGTACAACTCTTGATCTTGGGGTCATGAGTTTGAGCCCCACGGTAGGTGCAGAGATTACTAAAAGTAAATAAGCTTAAAAAAATAGTAGAGGAATTGATCCTTCACATGATTAACATAGAATGGGCAGGAATTCATGAAGTGGAGGATATATTACTATCTGCCTGGCACAACTTTTGAAAGAATAAGACATTAATATACAGAAAGTCAGTATCAATTAGCCTGACCTCGGGCAAGAGCTTAATACCTGGCAGCAGCAAGCACAGATCATTTTTATGAGAAGAGACAAATACTGTTTTCTCTAATCCTAAAGGAGAGACGTTATGGCTCTGTGGGAAAGGTTATAGTCCTCACCTTCCAGCCAAGGGCATGCAGCCCCACCACAGCCCCGTAGTGAGAGCAGAGAGGCCGCACGGGGTCTGCCAGGACCTTCTGCAGGGAGAGCAGGATCTGCTGATACAGGCCACTCACAAGATCCCCATGAGTCCTAAGGAAGCAACCTTCAGTCAAAGATGTCAATGAGGCCCGGGGCTGCCCAACTGGACTCAAGCCCAATCCAGAGCCCACAGAGAAAACAGCACTTGTGCGGCCCACTGGGGTGAGTGAGCAATGGGGCTCCGGGTGACAAGACTACCTGAAGGGCCGAAGGACCAAACCCTTGGCCCTTGGTGTTTGCCATCCATGTGCAGACTCCTCCCAGGTTGCCACAGCTTCAAGGCTGGAAAGCTCTAATGGAAGAGGTTCCCTGACCTCTCAACATCCAGCCTTGACGCCACACATTTCACCTGATTTTGACTACAAACTCCTCAGCCCTGGGGCCACCCCACCCTGTGTTCGGCGAGGCCCCATGGCTACCAGAAGATGTGGCTGAGCAGGAGGGCAGCACCATCCCGAAGAGTCCAGTGGTCATTCAGAGGGTTGATGGAGGCAGCCAATGGCTCCAGGACACAGTAGAGGACGCTGCCTACAAGGGAGCGAACATAGGGCCCCAGGCAGAGGTGGGGGTTCCGAACCAGGCTCCGGGCTACTTGCAAGAGCCGATGCAGCTGCTCCAGGTCGTGGCTTACAGATTTTACCTGTTTGTAGAAGACGGTGGCTGAGGGGCACATGAGGGTGCAGGTTGGAGCCTGCTGCTCTGATGGCACCTGCCACGAGCCCTACACGATGCTGGGTCACCTCCCTGCAAAGCATTCTCCTCTGCCCCAGCCTGGTCACTCACCCCACTGACCACGTAGACAAAGTAAGGCAGGAGTGCTGCAATCTTGGAGTTTGTCTGCAGATCCTGGAGAGCAATCTGAAAAGGATTACACTGGATGTACCAGCCCTAAATATAAACTGACTTTTTAAAAAAGATTTACTTACTCATTTATTTTTATTTATTCATTTCAGAGAAAGCACAAACGGGGAGAGGCAAGGGAAGAAAGAGAAGCAGACTCCCTGCTGAGCTGGGAGCCCAAGTGGGCTCGATCCCAGGACCCTGAGATCATGACCTGAGCCAAAGGCAGGCCCTTAACCAACTGAGCCACCCAGGCGCCCCTAAACTGACATTTATTAAAGGATGATTGAGTACTTACACATTAAAATTTTCAATGTCAACACTCTTTGATTCAGCAACTGTATTTCTATCACTTTAACACACTATAAGAAACACCCACTGATACACATACCCACTCACAGACCTGTCTGTAATAATATGAAATTGAATGCAACCTAAATGCCCAACATATTTTTTAACTGAGAAAAGCAGCTGTTCTAAAACCAGGTCTTTACTATAATACCACTTTAGTTTATACTAAAGTAATCATAGTTAAAAAATAGCAATTGGAGACTCTCACTTTCCAGTTCATATATTTTGCAATATTTCTATAATGAACATACTGGTGTTACTTTTCTAAGCAGAAAAAAAGAGAGTTAAGTTAATGAGAAAAACTCTCTTAGGCCTGAGTCTCTATTACTTATATACTCCAAACCCCTCTAGAAAAGCTCCTATACTCAGATGCTGTGAAAGCAAACAACTGGCTAGGAAGGAGCTCAGCTCCCAAGCCCTCCATCCAGCCATCTGCACTGTCCTGGAGAACCAGAGCCAAGCTCCCGAGGCAGGAACATATGGTGGCAACATTCCCAATTCTGCAGGGGAAGTGGCAGCAATGGCCAGACACTTGAAGAAGTGCAGGATGTAAACCATCAGAGAAAGGCCACGTGGTTGAGCAGAACCCCCAGCTAGCACTCACCTGTCTCTGGATAGGAGAAGACCAACCAACCATAGGTAGTGTCCAGCACACTCTGGGGAGTCCCAGAGGCTAAAGCAGCAGGGTCTCAGGGCAGGCCTGCCTGGGCCCCCTGACCAGGCTCCCTCTACTTCCCTTCTCTACCTCTCAAGTACAGGCAAATGAGAGCTGCAACGTGGCTGCCCCGTTTGGCCCCAGGTCAACAGACACCCTAAAGTGGAGGCTCTGGAACTAAAGTGTGGGGGTACTGACCACCTGAGCCCCCCAAATGGCCCTGCTGAGAACAAGGGTTCCTGCTAGAGTGGGAAGACGAGTCAGTCCTGGAGGAGCATCAGTCCTGGAGGAGGACCAGCCCCCGAGCATGACACCCCCACCAAGAGCAGCTTCCAGCCAAGTCAGTCAAGTGGTATGGGGTGGACAGGAAGTAGGCATCTGAAAGAGTTTCGTGGGAACCTGAAAGCTGGACTCTACGCCCCAATTTTGGCCCACTCACTCACCTTCATCAGCTGTGGATCATCCCCCAGCACAGCCCGAGTCACCTGCTGGTAGTACTTGAGAAGGTCATCAGTCAGCGAAGACACAGCGCTGGGCACTGTGGGAAGATGGGCAGAAGGTGGTCCGGGTGGAGAGCCTAGCTGGCCTCCCCTGCCCGCTCTCACTCACCCTCCTACCCCCACCCCACCCCCGCCAGAAACCGGTTCAGACAGGACTCCCAGAGCACGGAGCCACCAGCTCCTCAGAGCAGCCTGTTCAGCCCTGACCTTGCAGACTTTTCCCCACCCCTCTGCTCTGTACTCTGCCTAGGCAGATTCCTGCTCAGTCCTCAATCTCTCCTGGACACCTGCCCTCAGGGACCCCAGCTGCCTAGACTTCTGTGCTAGCATCCAACACCCATCCAACCCATGACTGGTTCCAGGTCTGGGCTCCTATCTCCAAATCCGAGCCCTCTGGGCAGGGACTGTGCCCACTCAGAACAGGATATCAATAAATATTTGTCAGATGAACAATCAGAGGTATGGGATACCCCCCTCAGTTCCAAAGGGAGGAAAGTTCAGGGAGTCTGTTCCTCACACTACACCTTACCTGATCCCTGCGGTGCCAGGTTCCCTTTGCCGTCCAGGTAGGAGACGTGAACTAGAACCAGAGCAGAGAGATGGGTCAGCCTAGGGTTTTGCCTGTTGTAGCATCACCCACCCCTCTGAGCTCTGCTCTATCCACCAGCCAGCCCATCACCCCTCCTCTGACAACCCAGTTTCGGCCCCCCACTCCCACCATAGGACCTCAGCAGTCACCTCTCACAGCTGTCTCGGCACAGCCTTTTGGGATGTTGGTGGCCAGGGCCAGCTCCACCAGGTTCACTTCTCGGTCCTCAGGAAAGTAAAGCTCACCCTCTCTGGCAGGGCGCAAGGGCAGCACCTCCTGGGATCCGTAACCACACACAGCCTGAGCAAAGAGAGGATCAGAGGGCAGGCTGAATCCGGGGAGGGAGGAGGCACTCTACCAACCAGGGAAAAGAGTCTATGCTTGAGGGAGGTCCAAAAGTACTGAAAAAGGGGGCAGCTTGGGTGGCTCAGCGGTTTAGTGCCTCCTTCAGGCCAGGGCCTGATCCTGGAGACCTGGGATCCAGTCCCATGTCGGGCTCCCTGCATGGAGCCTGCTTCTCCCTCTGCCTATGTCTCTGCCTTTCTCTCTCTCTCTCTCTCTCTCTGTGCCTCTCATGAATAAATAAAAAATCTTAAAAAAAAATCTTAAAAAAAAAAATGTCCTGAAAAAAGGGGAGACACCTGAGGCTTCAAGCCTATTGCTGGGCATCTGGCTGGAGCATCCAGTGCTCACTGGGTCAGAGAGGAGAATTTGGTCCTCCCAGATTCGTACAGGCTGAGCCCCACACCCCCATGCTGCTGGTCCTTATACTCACCCAACTTTGATAACACTACTGTTTTTTTTCTTTTAAAGTAAGCTCCATGCCCAACATGGGGCTCAAACTCACAACCCTGAGACTAGGAGTCAGGTCCCCCACCGAGTGAGTGAGCCAGGCATCCCAACACTACTCTCTGCTACACGTGACGTTCTTCCCTCAAGTCCTTGGCCCACAACAACTCTGCAGGACGCTTTAATACTGACATTGCGCCCAGGCTGTTCCCTTACCCTCCTCTTGGCCCAATCCAATGCAGGCCTCACAACAGGCCTCTGCAGCCTATGCTCAGCTCACCTCCACACTGCTCCATCGGAGGGCCCTGTTGAAATCCTCAACGGTCAGCTTCCGCCGCTTGGTGTGTTTCATGAATTGAGAGCTATTCTGAGAGGGGAGGAACAAAGTCAGGGGACAGAGAGCAGGGGGTTGGAGTCCCCCAGGAAAGAGATAGCCAGGCGACAAGAAAGACACAGGAACCGAGATCAGAAAACCCAAATCCAGCTCCGGTCTTGGGCAAACAGCCCCCAGAGTAATGCTCCCACTCTGTGACCCAAGTTCTCACAGGCAGAATGTGCACATGAACTCGCCTGGTCAGCCTGGCACGGGTGTTGGGAAGATGGACACGTGAGAAGATGCCCAACCACACTCTATTGGCCAGAAGACTCAATGGGAGCTCTGGGGAGGGCGGGGGCCACCTCCACGGTGTTCCCTCACAGCAGAGTGGGTGCCAGACACACACCTGCTGACTAAATCCCCACGGGGCAGGGGGTGTACAGGGAGAGCTAGGGAGGCGTGCTGGAAGAGAAGGGGAACGGACCTGGGTGGCCTCCCTGAGCCGGTAGCACACATCCTCCGCGAGCAGGGCCGCCACCTCATCGCTCAGCTCCAGGCCTGTGCTCTCCGCCATGAGCCGGACCGATTCCCGGGGGATCTCCACAAACCGCCGCTCTTCCCGCTCCGACATGACGCTGATGGAGCTGGGGGCCAGAAGAGAAGGTGTCAAAAGCCCCCTGGGCCCCCTCGGAGCCCAGGAGCCTGACTCCAGGCCTTCTGGGCCAGTCTTATGGCTCTGGCTCCAAGATCCCTGAACAAGGAGCCACCGAGGCTCTGAGCGCTGAGGTGAAGCGTGAGAAAAAGCCGAGCTGATCAGAGAGGAGTGCTGCCCGACAGGGGCCTGGCCTTGGGGACTGCACTGAACTGGGTCCCGGCCACGCCTTACCACTTCCTGAGCCAGATGTGGCTGAGCTGTGGCTGAGATCCTCCTCAGCCTGAGCCCTCCTGTCCCAACCTGTAAAACAGGCCATCATCCCCACCCTCCCTAACTCTGAAAAGTTGCTGTGAGGACAAAGTGAGCTGGTGTACAGGGAAGCCAGGGACTAGAATGCAACACCACCCAAAGAGACGATGGAAGATGTAACCGTGGTCAGTTAAGTATAAACTTCATGTCTTCTTCCTTCTGATTATTGCTACAGGTGCTACCAACTAACTCTCAATGAAAACACTACTTCTCCCTTGCTCAAAAATCTTCAGGCCTGGGCACCCAAGTGGCTCAATGGGTTAAGGGTCTGCCTTTAGCTCAGGTCATGATCTCGGGGTCTGGGGATGGAGCCCCACACTGGGCTCCCTGCTCAGTGGGGAACCTGCTTCTTTCTCTCCCTCAGCCCTTCCCCATGGCTCCTGCTGTCTCCCTCAAATAAATAAAATCTTTAAAAATATAGATATAAATAAATATTCAGTCCTTCCCCACTGATTCTTTTTTTTTTTTAAGATTTTATTTATTTATTCATGAGAGACAGAGAGAGAGAGAGAGAGAGAGAGAGAGAGAGAGAGAGAGAGAGAGAGGGGCAGAGACACAGGCAGAGAGAAGCAGGCTCCACGCAGGGAGCCTGACGTGGGACTCGATCCTGGGACTCCAGGATCACACCCTGGGCCAAAGACAGGTGCTAAACCACTGAGCCACCCAGGGATCCCTTCCCCACTGATTCTAAAAGAAACTCTAAACTCCCCAGCTTGAAATTCTGTGTTTGGTCCCAAATCCCCACAGCTGTTCAAGTGGATGGATCCCTCCTCCCAGTGAGCCCAGCCTAGTGTGCTCCGGCCTGCCCCGTGCTCACCACCAGCTCTGGCTGGTCTGTCTCCCTCTTTCCTCCAAGTCTCTTTGGCAAGGCAAATCCAGTCTGTCCTTTAAGGTCTTCCTGTCCATATGCCACCGAGGACTATCGGGTTTTTAGAGCTGGACTATCTCCCAGTTTGGCTGCAAGGCCTAAGAGCAGGAACCTGCTCTTCTGCTCGCAGGATATGGCAGAATAAGAACGCAACAAAGGGGGGCACCTGGGTGGCTCAGTCAGTTATGTAGCTGCCTTTGGATCCGCCTTGGGCCCAGGTCATGATCTCAGGGTCCTGGGATTAAGCCCCACATTGGGCTCCCTGTTCAGCTGGGATCCTGCTTCTCCCTCTCCCTGTGCCCTTCCTCTAGCTCATGCTCGCTCACTTGCTCTCTCTCTCTCTCCTTCGCTCTCTCCAATAAGTAAAAATCACTAAACAAAAAAATTCCTCCCAGTGGCTCTGCATTGGTTTTGGAATAAAGAACAAACCTAGGGCAGCCCAGGTGGCTCAGGGGTTTAGCACCGCCTTTAGCCCAGGGCATGATCCTGGAGTTCCAGGATTGAGTCCCGCGTCGGGCTCCCTGCATGGGAGCCTGCTTCTCCTTCTGCCTGTGTCTCTGCTTCTCTCTCTCTCTGTCTCTCATGAATAAATAAATAAAATCTTTAAAAAAAATAAAAATAAAAAATAAAGAACAAACCTAGGGACACATTTGGTTTAGGTCGTGATCCTCCAGTCTTGAGATCGAATCCCTCATCAGGCTCCCTGCAGGGAGCCTGCTTCTCCCTAGGCCTATGTCTTTGCCTCTCTGTATCTCTCATGAATAAATAAATAAAATATTTAAAAAAAAGAAAAAAGTGGGACACCTGGGTGGCTCAGCGGTTGAGTGTCTGCCTTCAGCTCCGGGAGTGATCCTGGAGTCCCAGGATCAAGTCCCACATCAGGTTCCCTGCATGGAGCCTGCTTCTCCCTCTGCCTATGTCTCTGCCTCTCTGTCTCTCATGAATAAATAAATAAATAATCTTTGAAAAAATAATAAAACCTTAAAAAATAATAAAAGGACAAACCTGGTTCCCACGTCCTGTGTGTCCACTTACTTCTACAACCCTTCTTTCCCTCTTGTGCTCTGCATTCCCACCATGGCCTCTTTCCATTTTCCCAAAAACACCTGCTATCAGGATGTTCATAAACTGTTTGCTCTTGTTCAAACACTCTCCTCCTCCTCCATCCCCGTTCTGTCTAGTGGACTCCTAGTTGCTCCTTCACATCTCAGTTGAAATGTCACTACTTGCTCAGGAAGTCTTCTCAGACCTCCACACTGCCTCAGTACTTTGCCTTCATAGTAGTGATCACAACTGTTTTTTTCCACAATTTGTAATTACATATTTGTATAGCTTTGTGATTAACACCTACCTTCCCACTAGACCGTAAGCTCCACACCAGCTAGGATCATGCCTGTTTGCTCACCTTTGCATCCCCAGCGTCCCGCACGGTGTCAGCACATAATACGCCCTCAATAAACACTGGCTACAAAAACAAATAAAAAAAGCTGTTTTTTTTTTTTCTAAGCACATGCTATGCCTAAGGCACAGAGCTAAGTGCTCTATATGGCGTATATTTCATTTTATCCTCATTAACAATGAGATGCATATTATGTAAATGCTATGTCTATTTCACAGCCAAGGAAATCAAAGCTCAGAGAGGTTAAATATTCAATGACTTGTCCAAGATCATCCAGCAAGCACTAAGTAGGGAGCAGGGACTCAACTCTTGTTCCTAACCATCAGCAGTGGCGGGCTGTGCCGGGGAACAAGGCCTGGATTCCCAGCCCGAAGACTTGGTGCTGGAGACCCGCCAATGGATAATCCCGAATTTTCTGCTTCCCCATCTGTAAAATGCGAGTAAATAGTCCTGCCGACGCGGAAAGCGCAGAGGGAGTTTCCTTACTAGTGCCCACATTAAGACGCACAAAGTCTTAATGACCAAGGTATCCCCCTCCTCAGCCTCCTCTTTGCATCCGCAGCCACGAGCCACATTGGTAAAGAGCGTGGGCACTGACCGCCACCCGCTTCGAGGGTGTGCATCCCACCCCCGGGCCTCGCTTCATACTTACCACTTAAGTGGTAAGGTGCAGTGGGGTGGAGGAGGTCAGGGGTTACGGAACTTGGGTCACGTGGCCAGCGAAGGGGGCGGACCCCAGCAGCGCCGGCCCTAAGACCACTGAGTGCGCAGCCCGCAGGGGGGCGAAGAGTCTTCGGGTCTGCGAGGACCTGCTCACCAGAGGGCTCCCGCACGGCGAAGGAGGCTACCGAGACGGCCGCCGCGGCGGCTGCTCCCGCTCACCCTGCTCACCCTAATTCCCTCTCTCCGAGCCCAGGACCCACCTTCCAAGAGCACAGCCAATCGGCGAGCGCCTTACAAAGTTCCCGCCCTCCCGGGGAGCTTCCCGCCACGCGATTGGTCCATGGAAGGAGCTGTAAAAGCCTCTGGGCGCCAGGGGTCACGTGACACTGAAGACTCGGGCTTCTTAAAGCAACAGCTCTTGGGAGTTTTCGAGTCCGTACCTATGGTTTCCTGTATGTTTTCAAAAGCGTATTGTCGGGGATCCCTGGGCGGCTCAACGGTTTGGCCCCTGCTTTCCGCCCAGGGTGTGATCCTGGAGTCCCCGAATCGAGTCCCAAATCGGGCTCCCTGCATGGAGCCTGCTTCTCCCTCTGCCTGTATGCCTCTATGTCTCTCGTGAATAAATAAATAAAATCTTAAAAAAAAAAAAAGGCGTATTGTCAAGGAAAGCGTCCCCATTCTCTTGGTCCTGTCTGCTCCTGTGTTTCCGAGCATTTGCATTTACGCAATTGCAGCGAAACTTTAAACTTTGGCGCCTAAATCGGTTTTCTTTGCCCGCTTGGTGGAGCTCAACTTACCTCTCCATCACCTGCACTTCCTTTCCCGCACGATGGAGTTCCCAGTAGGTATTCTCTTCGGGCAGAAGGGTCTTCTCACTGGCCCAAGCTCATGTGCAAGCTGCAAATTCCAGGGCTGTCTGTGCTCATCCTGGCATTCTACCTCCTGTCTTTCTCATTCTTGTTCAGTAAGCCAAATATAAGCCCCTCACCTGACTAGCGGACTTCCTTGGCCATTTTATGCGCACACTTTCCTGAACTTGGGCAGTTAGTTCTCAATTAAGAACCAAGTGGGCTTAGTGAGTTATGTTACAGTATTTGAAGTCAGGCCAACCAGGGTTCAAATTCTGTCACTGCTTTGGGGCAAATTACCTAACCACATTTTCACTCAACTACAAAATGGTACTAATACCCACCCCACAGGATTACTGTAGATTAAATGAGATAATATCTGTGAAAGCACGTGGCAGACAGTGAATTAATTCCTTTATGTTCATCCAAGATGAGGTGGTTTGCAAAGGGCTGTTCATTACAGAAGGGAGTATCCCGGGTCCTCTGGGTGGCTCAGCGATTGAGGGCTGAGCATCTGCCTTCAGCTCAGGGCGTGATCCTGGGATGCCTGGATCCAATCCCGCATGGGGCTCCCTGCATGGAGCCTACTTCTCTCTCTGCCTCTCTCTCTACCTCTCTCTGTCTCTCATGAATAAATAAAATCTTAAAAAAAAAAAAAAAGGAGTATCCCATGGTATCCCGTGGGGAAGCATGAATGTACACATCCTCACCCTTCCTCCCTCTCAGGGTTAGATGCTGCTGCCTCTAGAAAAGAAGATCCTCCCAGGCCAGAGCAAGGGAAACTCAAATGAATGTGGCTGAAGTTGCCATGGCAACACCGCCTAAGGGGACTGTGACCCTGCTGAATTTCTTCCAGTTATATTCAGAATGATGTTTGGAGTAGTTTCAGTACTGTGTTTGAACATTGGAGTGTCTGCCCACCTCTGCATTAAGAGGAGTGGAGGCTCCTCCACTGTCCTGAGTCTGAGATCAGCTTAGTGAGATCTGGGCTGCTGGCAGATCATCTTGCTGAGGCGTTAGTAGTCTGGATAGCCATTGGCCATCTTGGAGGCAGGAGACAATGGTAGAAGGCCCTGGGGCTTGTAGGATTTAGTAAAACTATTCAAACTGTCTGGGGCCCATCCAAGCCCAACCTCAAGCAGAGGCAGAGACCAAGGAAAAGTGGTAGTGAGACTCACATAGCCACAGGTAAGAGAAAGGTGGGTCCCACTCACTCGCCAACTACCTAGTGCCTGGCAAAAAAAGAGCTATGATGGCTTTGGAGCCAGACTGACAGCTTATTTTTTTTTTAATTTTTTTAAATTTTTATTTATTATTTATGATAGTCACAGAGAGAGAGAGAGAGGGGCGCAGAGACACAGGCAGAGGGAGAAGCAGGCTCCATGCACCGGGAACCCGACGTGGGATTCGATCCTGGGTCTCCAGGATCGCGCCCCGGGCCAAAGGCAGGCGCCAAACCGCTGCGCCACCCAGGGATCCCCCAGACTGACAGTTTAAAAGCAAAAGCAGTAGTTGGCCGGTTAGCTCAGTTGGTTAGAGCGCGGTGCTGATAAAAGCAAAAGCAAAGCTCCACGACTCACTAGCTGTGTGACCTTGGTGTTACAGTTTATGTCTCTAACCGACTTCATCAACTGTCAAGTGGGAGAACAGAACCTTCATGGAACAGTTGTAAGCAACACAATAATGTGTGTAAAAGATTTGGCAGGGCAGCCGGGTGGCTTAGCAGTTTAGTGCCACCTTCAGTTCAGGGTGTGGTCCTGGAGACCCGGAATCAGGTCCCACATCAGGCTCCCTGCATGGAGCCTGCTTCTCCCTCCGCCCGTGTCTCTGCGCGCCCCCCCCCCATGAATAATAACAAAAAAAAATCAAAGATTTGGCATTAGCAGGCAGATACTCCTGTTACCTGTGACCTTTTTAAGAGGCCGTAACTTTCAGTTACAAAACCTTAAGAGGGGATCCCTGGGTGGCTCAGCCATTTGGCGCCTGCCTTTGGCCCAGGGTGTGTGATCCTGGTGTCCCAGGATGGAGTCCTGCATTGGGCTCCTTAAGTGGAGCCTGCTTCTCCCTCTGCCTGTCTCTCTGTGTCTCTCATTAATAAATAAAAAACATAAAATCTTAAAAAAAAAAAAAACCTTAAAAGATATGAATCCTGCAGACTATGTCCAGGCCACCCGCACTTGATCCCTTTCCCCACAAGTCTGGTGCCCTTTTAGTGGGTGTCACACCCCACATCCTCACTGCCACCCACGTGCTCATGTTCAATGAGCCCCTTCTGTCCATCAGTTGCTTCTATTCCAGGCCTGATGTTACTTTCAGGTTACCCCCAACACAATTTGCAGATTGCTAGTTCCATTTGAGGGCATGGAAAGAATTTTGCTCAGTGCGAGGAGTGAGGTTCACAGCTTAGAGGAAGTCCCTACAACCTGGGTAATCAACTCATAGTTCAACAAAGTGATAGCACAATTTTATTTTATATTTTAAAGATTTTATTTATTCATGAGAGACACAGAGAGAGAGAGAGAGGCAGAGACACAGGCAGAGGGAGAAGCAGGCTCCCCCTGGGACTTGATCCCCAGATTCCAGGATCACGCCCCAAGGTGAAGGCAGACGCTCACCCGCTGAGCCACCTGGGCGCCCCTGGGTGGCAGAGTCCTTTAAGCATCCCACTCTTGATGTCGGCTCAGGTCATCTCAGGGTCATGAGATTGGGCCCAGAATCAGGCTCTGCGCTCAGTGAGGTGTGTGCTGAGACTTTCTCTCCCTCTTCCCCTCCCACTCGTGCTAAGATAAATAAATAAATAGTTTTTTAAAAAAAGAGAGAGGGCAGCCCTGGTCGCTCAGTGGTTTGGCGCTGCCTTCAGCCCAGGGCATGATCATGGAGCCACCGGATCGAGTCCCACATCGGGCTCCCTTCGTGGAGCCTACTTCTCCCTCTGCCTGTGTTTCTGCCTCTCTCTCTCTGTGCCTCTCATGAATTTAAAAAAAAAAAAAAAAGAGAGAGATAAATAATTTAGGAAAAGCAAACAGGACACAGTAATTAAAGCACATGTTATGTGATACACTGTAGAGGTATAAATGGAAAAGCCTGCATCGGTCCGTGCAGGGGTGGTGAAGGCAGGAAGAAAACTACATTCAAGTGCCATTTTCTTACCATGTTCCTGCCAATATTCTGGATGCTTCATATCAGGGTCTCTAGACCTTAGCATGATTGACATTTGGGACCAGATAATTCTTTGTTGGGGGGAGGGTGGATGCTGTCCTATATACTGTAGGAAGTTAGCTGCATCCCTGGCCTTTACCCACTAGAAGGCAGTACCATCCACAGTTGTCACAACCAAAAAAGTCATTGCCATATGTCCCCTCGGGACAAAAATCACCCAGCTGATAATCACTGCTTTTTGAGGGTCTATCATGGGCCAGGCTCTCTACAAGCCACTTGTACATGTGATCTCACACTAGAAGCAACCATCCAAAGAGGGTTAATGAGAAAACATAAGGCCCCCCAGCTAGGACTGGAACCCAGTTCTGTACCAATTCAAAGACCACGCTTTCTACGACACAGCTCTACTTTCCAAGGAAACAAAAAAGCTGAAAAAAATTTTAAAAAGAATTGACTGAGATTTGCTAGAGTAACAGGCAGTAAGCAGACAGGCTGGGAGAGGACATTCCAAGACAGACAAATTGTATTACAAAAGCAGAGTGTGAGCACACTGTGAGGGAGGGTAGTGTGTTTATTTAGTCTTTCAGTCATTTCATAGATTTTGGTTTATGTCACCCTAATGACAGTTTGGACCCGCTCACATTTTCAATTCAGCTTAGTGACTGATTAATACATAAAGACTTCTGTTGGGGCACCTGGGTGGCTTAGCTGGGTAAGCATCTGCCTTTGACTCAGGTCATGATCTCGGCTCAGATCACAATCTTGGGGTCCTGGGATCAAGCCCCACATCAGGCTCCCTGCTCCATGGGGCGTCTGCTTCTCCCTCTCTCTCTGCCTTTTCCTCTGCTATATTGTCTCTCTCTCTCTCTCAAATAAATAAAATCTTAAAAAAAAAAAAATGTTTGCAGATCCCTCCTAGGAAGGGCTGCATTGGGAAGCCATAGTCTGGGTCATTACTATCCTCTTATTTCCCTCTCCCTCCTCACTATCTTGTCTTCTCTCATGCCCAGCTCTACCTTTGGCTACTAGTAAAGGTGAGGGTAGGGCGAATATTCTGAGACTAGATCAGGACTCAGAGTGGTTCTAATGACAATGCCATTTGCTAGAAGCCTAAGACCTAACATTAGGGCCTTCCCTTCACTGAAGTCAGTGGTAGCCCTCTGCAGAAGGGATAGTCAGATCCCCTGGGTAGCTGAGGCTACTTGAGGCAGCAGGCCACCAAAAGGGAGGCTAGCAAGCAACTGGCCTCCAGCCTTTTCAATGAAAGAGTTGTTCTTACCAAAGAAAGGAGATAAAACCTCCATGAGAACAAGGACCTTTTATGGTTAGAAAGTACAGTAAAAACCTGGGGAGTGGCTAAGCATCAAGAAGAACCAGATATTTTCTGTGGACAAGGAACCTTCTCTGCCTCCCCACAGCAGCCAGACTAGGCTTCTGGACAGTATGTGGAGCATGACCGTCACAGCTCCTAGATGAGGACCAAACAGAGCAGGAGGCCCTGGTGCTCAGCTCACAAGCCCTGTAATGACAGGAAAAGCACACCAGTTAGGCTCAGGTTCGGGGCAGCCATCACCATTGTCTTCCCATCTCACGAGGCACAGGTCCCGATTTTCCAAGCAGACAGTCATAAGAGTTTCTTTCATCTGTGACTCGGGCTTTAAGTCCCATATCCACCCCCTGCCTCCACACACCCCTTTCTAGGCAACAACCCTGGAAGCACGATCAGGCACTCACCCAAGTAATCGTCCATCAGAGAGCCAATAGCAAACTGCAGGAGGGAAGGCAGAAAGGAAATAGAGCCTAAGCAAGCATAGAACTAACTTCTAGCCCAGCCCCAGGCCTTCTGCTCACCCATCCCCTCTTCCTGGCAGAAGAGAACAAAACCCCCAGGAACCCTGCATGGTAAGAAATTAACAGCTCCCAGCTCTGCCTGGTACAGGTAGGAAGGTAGGCAAGAGACTCACAATGTCATTCTTGTCCACACGGGTCCCCACAATCTTCAAGCGGATCTCATCGTCCTGCTGAATCACAATGTCCTGAGGAAGAGTAAACAGGATACTCAGATACCCCCAAGCCAAAATTTTTTGGAGGGCTCATTCTTCGTCCTTCTCATGGACTTCTTCCCCACTCACCTCATCCATTGTCTTATAACATGGTGGGTTGGAGTTGGGGTCAAACTCCATCTCTGATGGGATGGACTGAAAGGAAAGCAAGACAGAGCTTTACAGGAGTGCTTCCAGAGAGAGTCATGACTGGCTTCTCTCCTTAGCACCCCCAGCACGCCCAGACTTACATGTCGAGAAATGAAGCAGGACATTGGTCCAATTTCTGTGAAAAGTCCAACCTAAGAGGACAATGAAGGACTTTGTTTTTCTTTTTAAAATTTTATTTATTTGAGAGAGAGAGAGAAAGAGAGAGCAAACGTGTGTAGAGAGTGAAAGGGAGAAGTAGATTCCTGCTGAGCAGGGAGCTGGCTGCGGGGCTCCATCCCAGGATCATGACCTGAGCTGAAGGCAGCTGCTTAACTGACTGAGCCACCCAGGCAGGCACCTCGACTTTGCTTTTTCTTTTATCCTCAAATTCACCTAAGCTTCCCAACTTTATCTAATTCCTAATAATATTCTTCATATTTTGAATCCACTCTGAATTGTATCATTTGCTTTCATGTCTCTTCTGCCGAGATTTCATTTCAAGTTACGGAAATACAGTGCACTAAAGAGCCAAGGCCTGGCACTTGTCGGTCCACAGTTTGACCACCTGTTGATCACATGACCTTGGCCATTAGACAACTTCTAACTTCTCCAGGCATAAGCTTCTATAAAAATGGATAAAGGCATGACCTTAGTCATCGTTAGGTTTTGCACCTTACCCAGCCCATAATAAGTATTCAATGAATGGAGGCTACTATTGCTGACAACTCATACTGACTTACAGGACCCCAAGGGAGGTTTCTGCACCATTTGACAGGTGTAGAAACTGAAGCAAAAGTGACTTACCCAAGGACACAGAGTTAGCAAGAGCAGTTGGGACCCATCCCCCATCTTCTGAGCAGCCACCCAACTGCCTCCACTATGTATGGTCTCACCTTGTTGACTTGAGTGACAACAGCATCCACGACCTCCCCTTTAAAGGGCCGGAAAACAATGGCCTTGTACTTAACTGGATAAAGGACAAACCCTCGGCCTGGCTGGATCACACCAGCACCAATATTGTCAATGGTGGTGACAGCAATTACAAAGCCATACCTGTAAGGAGGATGAAAAAAAGAAAGGCATTGTGTGTGCAAGAGCCTCTAAAATCATCTACAACAAATCAGTGATGATGGGGGTTAGGGGACAGCACAAAGGGAAATAGATGGCACCCCTGCCCACAGAACTTAATGTTGGGAGAATACCGATCAGTATCTATAATGCCAAACACTGCTCTCATGTTTCACAATAAATGTCCAAGAAGACTGCAGTCCTTAAGCCAAGAGACTTCAATCTTGAGGATACCTCAGAATCACCTAAGACGAACTTCTTAAAACACAGATTCCCAGAGATCCCTGGATGGCTCAGCGGTTTAGCGCCTGCCTTCGGCTCAGGGTGTGAGCTCGGAATCCCGGGATCGAGTCCTACATCAGGCTCCCTGCATGGAGCCTGCTTCTCCCTCTGCCTGTGTCTCTGCCTCTCTCTCTCTCATGAATAAATAAATAAAATCTTAAAAAAAAAAGTCTGCGGAGTAAACGAATGACCAGTCTCTGCTGAAGTAAGTCTCGCGATCCAGAGGGCACCTCGGGAACCCAGGCCGGAAGCAAGTGACTGCCTCGGGTGCCTGAGAGGGTGAGAGGGTTCCCCGGGGCAGGTGGCAGGTGGCAGGTGCTTGCAGGATGAGTAGGAATTGGGTAGAGGCTGCAGATCAGGCGGCACGAAGCACTCGGGACTCACTTGCCGGTGCAGGTCCCCTCCACCTCGGTGAAGAGCTTCTGCTTGACCGTGTTGAGCAGGTTGGGGCCGAAATAGCGCGGGTGCAGCAGGATCTCGTGCTCCAGGGAGATCTGCGGAGAAAGCGGCATGGAGACCAAGCAAGGACGAGGAACAGCATCTCCTCGTCCCGGCGCCCCGCTTCGCCCCTCCTCTTAACCCTGCCCTCGCGGCCACCCCGTGCTCCGCGTACGTGATAGAACATCTTCCCAGCCCGGACCGGACAGCAGCCAAATCCAAACCGCCTCGGTGGTAGCCGCGGTTCTCACCCAACCGGAAACACACACCGCCTCCGGAACCCTGCTTCCGGGCCTGTCCCCGCCAAGTGGGCGGGACTCTGCCCCCTACGCGGACCCAATTGGGCATCGCTGTCGTGGGCGGGAAAGCGGTGAGGCCCCGCCCTTCCGGCCCGGTCAGCGGCGCAAATGCTGACTCCAGCTAGTCTCTGGGCTCCTGCAGAAGACCCTGAGGGCAAACCATCTCTTGATGGAAACCAAAACTACCCCTCAAGCAGAAAGGACTGTCCTGAGCCAGCAAAACCCCACCCATAATTGCCTGCAAGACAATGATCTATTTAACCTCCACCTATCTGCCCATACCCACCACCTTTGCCCAGCATTTTCCTTGTATAAACCCGGGAGTATTTTCAGCACTTTGGAGACAGTCTTTGAGATGCTAATTAATTTCCCCAGTGCTGGTCTCCCTGAAATAAATTCCTTTCTTGTTTCACCACCACTTGTTTCTCTGCCTTTGGCTTTTGTCAGCCAAGAGTGGCTGAACCCTTTCTGTCTCTGAGCTCCCCAGGCATGGGGTGGCCATGATAAATTTTCTCCAAGCCCTGATCTCTTTGCTTCCAAAGCTTCAAGGTCAGAGAGAGACAAGATAGGATAGAAAGAGAAAACAGCAATGACTTAACAGTAAACTGTATTGAGATTAGGCATACAAAGAAAGTCTACTGGGCAGCCTGGGTGGCTCAGTGGTTTAGCGCCTGCGTTCAGCCCAGGGCATGATCCTGGAGTCCTGGTGTTGAGTCCCACATCGGGCTCCTTGCATGGAGCCTGCTTCTCCCTCTGCCTGTGTCTCTGCCTCTCCCTCTGTGTGTCTCTCATGAATGAATAAATAAAAATAAAATAAAAAGCTCAGAGTTTTAAAAAGTCTACTGGAGGATTGAGTGATCTTTTGCTATCTCTTTTTAGAGGAGCCCTTGTGATATCTGTCACTTGTTTCCTAAAGAGAAACAGAAGCAGCAGGTCCCACTGGAGGGCAATCTCTGAGCAAGGATCATCCATCCCAACTGCCCCTCTTCCTGGTTCTGGGCTCCACCTACTGTGCCACCAGTTCTTCCAACAGCTAGGATAATCCTGCACCAAATCCAAGTCTAAATCCTCTGGCCATTGGTTCTACAACAACCCTAAGAACCCCCTTGCAGATACTCTAGGAAGATAGATTCTACAGAATAGTTAGAGCTAGAGTTTTGAAGACAGACTCAAATTCAATCTCAGCTCTGCCTTTTATTACCTGTGTGACCTTGGCCAAATTACTTAATGAAGTTGAAGCTGTCATTCTGTCTAGTGGAGAGAGGAAAAGCTATTACAGAATTAGATTATATCTTTAGCACACTGTTAAGCATTTAACAAATGCTAAATAAATGGTAGATGTTTTTCTAACTTCAACTAATACTCAAACACATAGAAGCAAAGCTTTACAAGCTTTTTCCTTGGGGGACAGTTACTACTATAAGTATGAAATTTCTTCTGGTGTTTATTTATTTATTTTCTTTCTAAGATTATTTATTTGAGAGAAAGAGAGAGAGAGAGAATAGAGCACAAGCAGGGTAAGGGTCAGAGAAGCAGAATCCCCACTGAGCAGGGAACATTATGTGGGGCTTGATCCTGGGACTCCAGGATCATGACCTGAGCGGAAGGCAGACGCTCAACCACTGAGCCACTCAAGCATCCTTTTTTTTTTTTTTTTTTTTTTCCACTCAAGCATCCTGAGCATATGACTTGATCTCAGGTTGGGCATGGAGCCTACTTAAAAAAGAAGAGAAAGAGGGATCCCTGGGTGGCGCAGCGGTTTAGCGCCTGCCTTTGGCCCGGGGCGCGATCCTGGAGACCTGGGATCGAATCCCACGTCGGGCTCCCGGTGCATGGAGCCTGCTTCTCCCTCTGCCTGTGTCTCTGCCTCTCTCTCTCTCATTCTATGTGACTATCATAAATAAATAAAAATTAAAAAAAAAAGAAGAGAAAGAAAAAAAAGAAAAAGAAAGAAAGAAAGAAAGAAAGAAAGAAAGAAAAAGAAAGAAGAAAGCAGAAACCACGCTCTTTATTCTCCTGTCCTGGGAAATGTTAGAGTCTTGTACCCATCCTTCTCTCCCATCAGCACCGTCCAGACAGCTCCAGACACAGAGAAGCGCATTCTTATCTCTTCGTTGTAAACTGTCTACAGGGATCAGGCTAAGGACAGTATGAGACCATTCGAGCAGCTGCTTGTTCTCGGACACCACCATTACTGAGCCAGGAGTCTGGAACCATCAGACTGGGGTAGTGAGGCAAAAGGGCATCTTGCCATTTTTGAGAGAGGGAGGGACCTTCAGGAGATACTTGGACTTCAGAGAGGCGTACCTGTTGCCCACCGTTATGTTATGGTGGAGCCGAGGCCCCTGAGTATCACACCGGTCTGTGGTATCGTTCCCGCTTTCCTAGTAGCCCTGAGCACAACATCCTGCTGGGTGACCGGCTTCCCGCCAAGGAGCGGGTCCCCGCCCTCCTACCGCCTCAGGTAGCTGCGGAAGCTCAGCCAATCAAAAGGTCTCTGGGGCAAAGAAGGCGGGACGAGGAGGAAAAGTTTAGGACAGGAGCGCCATCCAATCCTGCGCCTCGCTGCCTGAGCAACGGCCACTAGCACCATTCGCAGACGCAGCGGACAGCGAGCCAATCCGTCCGGAGGGAAGGCAGATTTGAGCCAATTAAAACTGAGAAGGTGGGAAGGGGCGGAGTCCGCCGGTGGTTGTTCGCTGGTGGGTGAGGGATCTGCTTTCTCTGCTAGTTTCCACCCTAGGACTTCTTAGCCCCTGGAATGCGAGAGAGAGAGGCTCAGGGGAGTTCCTGTTGTAGGGCATAGAGGTACCTCCCGGCAAGGCCTGGAAGCAAAAGAGATTCCTAGAGGAGCTGTTGGAAGCCACCGGGTGGGCATCGAGGAAGCGGAGGCTGGCTAGAGGAGGGACTTCCGGGGCGTGGTCTTGCGCGTGGGGCGGGGCCAGTTGGTGAGGTTGGGCCGGTGGGCGGAGCTACAGGGAGACCACTGGGTGTGACCTAGGAGAAGGAAGGGTAGAAATTTAAGCGGGCGTTTTGAGGTCAGGAAGGTGTTGCCATTGGTTTTGGGGTGGCAGGTGATAGCACAGGACTGAGGGGAAGGTTGCTGGGGAGGTTACCTGCCCTAACCTACTGTCCTCTCTTCCCAGGGAGCCACTGGTGGGGACCTTTCTAGGGTCCTGTTCCCTCCGTGGGGTGCTATGGAGTTCCCAGACCACAGCCAGCAGCTGCTGCAGAGCCTGCGAGAGCAGCGATCCCAGGGTTTCCTTTGTGACTGCACCGTAATGGTGGGTAGCACCCAGTTCCTGGCCCATCGGGCCGTGCTCGCTTCCTGCAGCCCTTTCTTCCAGCTTTTCTACAAAGAGCGGGAACTGGACAAGAGGGATCTGGTGTGCATCCACAATGAGATTGTCACGGCCCCAGCCTTTGGTCTGCTTCTGGACTTTATGTATGCTGGCCAGCTGGTTCTGAGGGGGGACACCCCTGTGGAAGATGTGCTGGCAGCTGCCAGCTACTTGCACATGAATGACATCGTTAAAGTGTGTAAGCGGCGGCTGCAAGCCCGGGCCCTGGCAGAGGCAGACAGTACCAAGAAGGAGGAGGAAACAAACTCACAGCCCCCTAGTTTGGAGTTTTTGTCCACTTCCCGCGGCCCCCAGCCTTCGTTGGCATCTGCTGAGACATCAGACCACTGGGGCAAAGGGGAATGGAAAAGCCCTCCAGCTCCCTCACCAACTGTCTGTCCTCCAGATGAGCCACCAGTGCCCGGTGGGGCTGACACTACGCAGCCTGGCGTGGAGGTTGACTCACCACATCTACAGGCACCTCCTCCACCAGTAGCCGATGTCTCTCTTGCCAGCCCCAGTAGCTCCACGGAGACCATCTCTGCAAACTACTTCTCTTCTAGCCTGCCAGCAGTTTCAGTGGAGCCACTGGCCCCCCTTGATGTGGGTACTGAGAGTCTGAGGATGGTAGAACCGAGGGGTGCTGGAGGACCATTGCCAGGCTTCTATCCTCCAGCTGCAGCAGCAGCCCCAGTCCCAGCCCCAGCGGAAGCTGAGCTGGTCCAGGTGAAAGTAGAAGCTATTGTGATTTCTGATGAGGAGCCCGATGTGTCAGAGGAGCAGCCTCAGGGTGTCGAGGGACTATTCCCAGCTGGAGGAGCAGTGTATGGTGGACAGCCCCCTCAGCCAGAGACTTTCGAGGAGCCAAGAGCAGTGGGACTGGAAGAGGTGGGGCCAAGTGACCATTTCCTGCCCCCAGATCCTCACCTCCCCTACCACTTGCTGCCAGGTCCAGGGCAGTACCATCGAGGACTGGTGACATCGCCCCTGCCTGCTCCCCCAGCCCTGCATGAGCCACTTTACCTGCCTTCTGAATATGAAGCAACTCCAGGAAGTTTTGGGGTTTTTACTGAGGATGTGCCCACTTGCAAGACATGTGGGAAGACTTTCTCATGTTCTTACACACTAAGGCGACATGCCACAGTGCACACTCGCGAACGACCATACGAGTGCCGCTACTGCCTGCGCAGCTACACACAGTCAGGGGACCTATATCGTCACATCCGCAAGGCTCACAATGAGGACCTGGCCAAACGCAGCAAACCAGATCCAGAGGCTGGCCCCCTCCTAGGTGTGCAGCCCCTGCATAGCTCCCCTACAGCAGACAAACAGAACAACAGCGCTGGAGGGCCACCCAAAGATTTTGTACTTGGCCCCAAAAACTGACATCTGCAGGAGCATCATAAGCTGACGCTAGAGCTGCTCTTGCCTCATCAGGGGGCAGCGTAGGTTAGAAGCCTCTCATTTCCCCTGCTGGGGGCGCAGAATGAACATCCTTCCCTGGCTGAAGATTCACCCCGTTTTTTCTTTACACAGCCAGACAGCAGGACTCTTGGCGCAGTGCACCTCAGTCCGCTCCTCTCCACGGGCACTGGGAATTTTTCTGAGGTGTAATCACTTCTCACTCTGCCTTCTGGGCCATAAAGCTAGCAGTGAAAATATCTCTTTGAACTGGTGTTGGTTGGTTTATTCCACAAACCTGCATGCCTCCTGATTCTTTCATACCTCTCCTGCAGACCTTTTAGGAATCTGACATCTGTACGGGAGTGGGGTTTGGGTCAGGTTGCTGATGAGGGAAAAAGAGACAGGCAGAGGGCATGTGGACTTGGCTTAGGAGAAGGGTACTAATTAAGGAATCGTACCCAGTGATGGTTTATTGTTGCAGTTGAGCTCCTATGCCTTGGGCTATGCTGAGGACTCCATAAAAATACTTAATTCTCAACAACTTTATAAGGTATTAGCACCCCCCTCCCCTTTTCTTCTTTCACAGGCAAGGAAACATAAGACTCAGAAATCAACATGTTCAAGGTCAGAGGGTGAGTTAAGGGACAAGCCTGAATCTGAGTCATGGCTTCAAGCACCATGCCCACTGTGCTGGGTTAGAACATTCTTGAAGAGTGTTTGGCTTTGCTCTTCTCCCTTACCCCTTTACCTCTACTTCCAATGTAGAAAGTCTTTGGCTCACTGTTTCAACAACAGAGAACTGACTGTATCAATGACTGGAAATGTTTGCCTGTGTGTCCTAATATGAATTGAGGTCTCTGAAGACAAGGAACCAAAAGGCAGAAAACACAAAGCTCAGTTGTGGGGGAGGGAGAGGGCCCGTGGTATGGAAAAGATGAGTGCTTGGGCAAAATGAAAGCAAGGGACTCCAGATGAGGGAATCTTATCATCATTCCTCTGGTCCACCTCCCTAACCTAGAAAGCATGAGGATGGCATAGAGAAGTCCGACTACTCTGCTGAGGTCATAACAGGTGGTTACTGGCAGTAGAGACATTAATGAGATGAGAGTCTGAGGTGTTGATGTAGGCTCTGGGAGCTCTGGGAAGGTCAGAGAAAGGCCTGCCCTTCTGTTCTCTGTGTAAACAGTGGTGCCATAGGGGGAGAGAGCTCCTGAAAAACACTTCTCTATTTTGCACACAGAGTGCAAAAAATGCAGGAAGGAAAATCTGGGAAAAGATGGAAGTGAGTAAATTTTCTGAATTTCTTTTCCCTCTTTGGATTTGCCTGTCCCATTCAGCCCTGTGAGCTCTGGCCAGCAAGCTTCTGTTTCTGAGTTCGGGGAAGGAGGGCCAAACATCAGAGGTTTGGCCAAAGGAAGCTCCTTATCTGGGGCATCGAGGGAAGCAAACCGTTGATGCTTCCCATTTTCATGGCTGAATAAATTCTATGCCTTTCACTTTCCTTGTGTTGGAATAACCTTTCAGTTTGTCTTTCAAATGGCTAATTTTATTTCTGTGAATACATTCCTACTTTAACTCCTTGGCATCAGTAACAAGGCAAGATATATGTATATACAATAAGTTATTCCAGCACCTTTTCCAGTCTTTCGTAAATATCAAAATGCCTGAAAACAATCAGTTACCTTTAAAAGAGTAAATTTTGTGGTATGTGAATTATTTAAGATTTTATTTGAAATGAGAAAGATCAAGATAAAGAGAGCCCCTGGGATTATGACCAGAGCTGAAAGCAGATGCTTAACCAAGTCACCCAGGCGTCCCAGTATGTGAATTATATAAAAATTATATATATGGAGAAAGAGAGAAAAAACAAATCAGCTGCCTCAGAACATCAATTCCTTTTTTTTTTTTTTAAGATTTTATTTATTTATTCATGAGAGACACACAGAGAGAGGCAGAGACACGGGCAGAGGGAGAAGCAGCTTCCTTGCAAGGAGCCCAATGCCGGACTTGATCCCGCCACCGGGATGACACCCTGAGCCTCCAAGGCATCCTAGAGCATCAATTCCTAAAAGCAAGGCATAATAGTTGTGTCTATATGTGTATACAATGTACATAATTTCTCTAGTCAGTCTGGAAAACACAGTAACCATTGTCTTGGCCATGTGTCATTCCTAACTAAAGAAGATCTTTTGCTTGGTGAGATTCTCCTCCAGAGCAAGCATTTGCTTTTGGTTCCCAGCATGAAATGCAGTTTTCACTGGAGGTGGCAATTAGGAATCTGCAAGATGTTTAAAGCAGCACAGCAGCCAACACAAAAGGCCACAGTTGTCTCACATTATCTGCTGGACGCCAGGAACAGTTTCTGCCAGCCTGTAGAGGTATAGAGAATTTTCTCATTTCTGCTGCTTTCAGTCTCATCCATGGATTCAAGGAATCACAGGTGAGCTCATCTAATCTCTATGCCAACATTGGATCCTTTTTTTTTTTTTTTAAGATTTTATTTATTTATGCATGAGACACAGAGACACAGGCAGAGGGAGAAGCAGGCTCCATTCTGGGAGCCCGATGTGGGCCTCTATCCCGAGTCTCCAGGATCACGCCCTGGGCTGAAGGCGGTGCTAAACCCCTGCGCCACCGGGGCTGCCCTGGATCCTCCTTTTGTCAGTAAAACCACTACTTGAAAAAGAATTTGGGGCCCCTAGCTGGCTCAGTCGGTGGAGCATGCAACCTTGATATCAGGGTCATGAGTTTGAGCCCCATGTTGGGTGGAGAGATTACTTAAATAATCTTAAAAAATAATAATAAAATAAAAATAACTCATTATCCCCAAAGGAAACCTAGTCTATTGTTGGATAGTCCTAATTGTTAGATAATGTTGCCTTCTACTGAGCCAAAATCAGCCTACTTTTATCAGAGTATGGGTCAGGCTCCAGCCTATTAAGAGTTTCACCCTGAGATACTGTTTTTGAGCTATAAGCTGATTTAATTTTCAGACAACCACCTTCTGCTCTCCAGCTTTAGAGATACGATTCTTTTTTGTTTGTTTTGTTTTTAAGATTTAAACATTTTTTTAAAAGATTTTATATTTATTTATTCATGAAAGACATATGGAGAGAGAGGCAGAGACACAGGCAGAGGAAGAAGCAAGCTCCCTGCAAGGAGCCCGATGTGGGACTCGATCCTGGATCCTGGGATCATGCTCTGAGCCAAAGGCAGACGCTCAACCACTGAGCCACTCAGGCGCCCCAAGATTTAAATTTTTTTTAAGATTTATTTATTTATTTATGATAGACATATATATATAGAGAGAGGGGCAGAGACAGGAGAAGGGAGAAGCAGGCTCCATGCCGGGAGCGTGACGTGGGACTTGATCCCAGTACTCCAGGATCGCGCCCTGGGCCAAAGGCAGGCGCAAAACTGCTGAGCCACCCAGGGATCCCCGATTTAAATTTTTTAAAAAGTAATCTCTACACCCAATGTGGGGTTGGAACTTACAACCCCAAGATAGAGCTGCACACTGTAACTACTGAGCCAGCCAAGTGCCCCTAGAAATGTAATTCTAATTTAGGATTTCAATTCTTTTTCTTTTTGGGGGGAGGGTGGATTTCAATTCTTAACTGGCAGTTTTGTAAATGTATGCCTTCACTTGCTGCCTATTGATTGCCTCTTCTATCACCAGACATTTGGCCAAACTTAGCTTCACAAAAGTCACCATTTCAGTCATTTGGATTGGATTTTATTTATTTTTGTTTTAAGAAAGGGAAGAGCACATGCGAGTACAAGGTGGGGGATGGAGGATGGGCGGGGGTGGAGACGAGTGAGAGAGAGAGAGAGAGAGAGAGAGAGAGAGAGAGAGAGAGAGAATGAATCTAAAGCAGGCTCCACACCAGCACAGAGTCCAATGCAGGCTTCCATCTCATGACCCTGAGATCATGACCTGAGCCAATATCAAGAGTCAGATGCTTAACCAACTGAGCCACCCAGGGACCCCTGAATTTTTATTTTAATTTAACCAAAGCCAGTGTTTCCAAAGATCATTTACCTGGGCATATACTATTTGTATTGTGAAATATATTTACTTTTATAGTTGGGTCTTTATTTTTTCTTTGCAATGATATGAAGTGTTCCCAAGTCCCTTCCCCAATGATCAGTAAGCAATTTTGATATGTGCCTCTATAAGAACTCTTGAAAAAAAAAAAAAAAGACCAAGTACCATTATCATACTCAACAAAACTGACAAAAATTCTTTTTCCCCAGACAATAATTCTTGTTCAAATGTCTGTATCATATTTATTTTTAAGATTTTATTTATTTATTCATGAGAGACATACAGAGAGAGGGAGGCAGGGACACAGGCAGAGGGAGAAGCAGGCTCCATGCAGGGAGCCCGACATGGGACTCGATCCCAGGTCTTCAGGATCAGGCCCTGGGCCGAAGGTGGCGCTAAACCATTGAGCCACCTGGGCTGCCCTCTAAAATGTTTTTAAATACCAGTTTTATTTTTCCTTATTGATGCAGAAGATAGCTTAGTGTAACATCAAGTCTGGCGGTGGAGGGTGGGGGGTGGGGGGAGAAGATCAGAAAGCAAAACTTGACCAAAGCAAACATGCAACCATGACATAATTTTGTCAACAATCTAGGTCCAGAAATTTAAGCAGCTTGGGAAAGGAATGAAATATTCTATTTTTGTTAGTTCTGTCCTTGGAATTACAAGATTTTTGGAAGAAAACCTTTTTGTTGTAAGTTCTATTATTTAGGGATATGAGGGGACACGAAGAGGAGCCTGGCTCTTTGGGAGAGAGAAGGGGCTCACCGAATAAGGGAGAACTCATGCATACTTGGCAAGACTAAGGGTTTTGGGGTTTTTTGTTGTTCTTCTGAAATCTGTCCTTATGTGATAGCTAATGACACATGCTTACTACCTCCACTCATAAAGGTAGAGGCAGTACTACCTGGTCTCATCTCCTCTGTAGAACCCATACATTGTGGACGTTATTCACAACAAGTACACAGAATGACAAAGGAGCTCTTGGTTGATGGAGCCTCCTACTGAGACATAACTGTACCAGGTCTGCAGCCTGCACCGATTAAGCTTCCAGAAAGTTCCATGGGGTGCTTATGCATAAGGGAAGGATAACCCTTCCTATTTCCCTCCTCTGTAAGGAACTGAGCTCTTACAAAATATAAGGTGACAAGTGAAAAACAGATTTATGTCTTTATCCTCTCTTTCATGGTATTGTTTCAAGAAGACACAGCAATCTGTTTTTCCTTTTTTTTTTTTTTAGAGAAATGAGCATACAGATATGCACGTATTAAAAATTAAAATGTTTGGGTTTTTTATTTTTTTGGCATGAGAGCTGAAGAATTATTAAATACTTAAGTGCTTGACTCAAGGTTTTAAGATAGAAGAATTCAATGAAAAAATAAGTAAGTATATACTGTATGAATGCTCTAAGTATGAACACTAGCAGGGACTAGAAATTATCACCAGAAAAAAATAGGAACCAGATATTTTTGGGGCAGGGGTACAAAGAACTGGAATGTATGTGGAATATTAAGGATAAGGAATTGAATTAGTCAAGGAGATTAATTTCAAATCTTTCCTTTTAAGTCATATGGGTCCAATTTATAATCATCTATTTCACAAAAATATATTTCCAAGTTTGTGACTTGTGTGACTTTGGCTTTGGGCATGAGGAAACAAAGAAAAAACTTTTATCATTCTTTCATCCTTTACTAACCTTCTTGTACTGTATATGGATACATGTAAAAATATCTATCATTAAAATCTATGTCATAGAGGATTAACTGCATTTATAGCTGATTTTATTTCTCAAGGGAAATATCCCCAAGAATATCATGTATGGAAAGCTATACAAATACATACATTGACTTCACCACCACCAAAAAAAAAAGACTGTGTAAGTCCCAAAGAAGTTGTGCAGAGCTAGAAACAAAACAGAAATCGACCGCGTGAGAGGTATGGGGTTAATTGCTCTTGCAGAGGCTTCCCTCAATTGGTCTTTAACTTTCAAGTTCAAGTGGAGGAGCATCATTCTTCTTTGTTAACCAAACATGCCCAGGTAGAGCTGCCTCTCTTTCTGATGGTAGCTACTGAGTTCCGACTGTGTTAGCTGGAGGTACCGCCGGACATTGGCATCTTAGAATAGGGCAAAGAAGGCAATTAGAGACAATTAGAACATAATCACAGCTTGGGGCAGGAAAGAATTGTTCACAGGATCCTTTTTTTGTTTTTTTTTACAATCATTTTATACTTTTATAGAGTCAGATCCTTTTTTAGTCATGGCTAAAATTAAAAAAAAAAAATGAGTCTTTTAAAATGTTCAAAGCAGGGATCCCTGGGTGGCTCAGCGGTTTAGAGCCTGCCATTGGCCCAGGGTGTGATCCTGGGGTCCCGGGATTGAGTCCCACATCGGGCTCCCTGCATTGAGCCTGCTTCTCCCTCTGCCTGTGTCTCTGCCTCTCTCTCTCTGTGTCTCTCATGAATAAATAAAACCTTAAAAAAAATGTTCAAAGCAAACATATTGATTAAAAATACTTAGGGAGGGATCCCTGGGTGGCACAGTGGTTTGGCGCCTGCCTTTGGCCCAGGGCGTGATACTAGAGATCCTGGAGATCCGGGATCGAATCCCACATCGGGCTCCCGGTGCATGGAGCCTGCTTCTCCCTCTGCCTATGTCTCTGCCTCTCTCTCTCTCTCTGTGACTATCATAAATGAATTAAAAAAAAAAAATAGGGAAAAGTTACTGTTACTGGCTTCTGCAAGCTAGCATTTTTACCCCCACTTTAGGGATGTGGTTATTTTACAAAAATAGATCAGAGATAATCCCAAGTGACATCCTGAATAAATGATATAAACCAGCACTATTATTTCAAATCAAGATTTCAGTCTTTCAAAGAAATTACTAGAGAAAGTAGGTTTGAGGAGGACCAGATTTCTGAATCTAAAAATAATCATTTGAGTTTATTTAATATCATGCTAGAACAAATTTTTTTGGTGGGGGGAGGTGTGTGTGTATGTGTGTGTAAGTATGAAAATAAACATATTCTCTGGGAGAATACGTTTGTTCGGATCTACAAAATATGCAGAGTATTTTTTACTCTCCAGAGCCCAGGAATCTTCCTGTGAACAAACATAAACGTGGGTATAAGACTTAAGCTGGAAAAAAAGAAAAGAAAGAAAGAAAAAAAGACTTCAGCTGCTATTTTAGCTCTTCTTTTTTTCTTTTTTCTTTTTTTTAAGATTTTAATTATTTATTCATGAGAGACACAGAGAGAGAAAGAGGCAGAGACATAGACAGGGGGAGAAGCAGGCTCCATGCAGGGAGCCCAAGTGGGACTTGATCCCAGGACTCCAGGATCATGCCCTGAGCTGAAGGCAGGCACTTTAACCACTGAGCTACCCAGGTGTCCCTATTTTAGCCCTTCTTTGATGAGGCTTCTTCTCTACCTTTAGTTGTAGAATTTGTTCTGCCAGTCTTCACTTCAGGTTGATTTCTGGGGTATTGAGGATGCTTTGGTAAGTTACCTAGTTGCATTTGTGGGACAAGGTGAGCCTAGGGTCCCCCTACTCCACTGCCATCTCCTCACCCTCCCCTGCATACTTCTGTTGCTAAAAATCTTTCTCAGATCTCAATATATCATAACTAGTCTTTGCAATAGTAAATCTCATTCATTAATACTAGTGTGATTTTTTTTTTCTTTAGACATCTCTGTACAGGGAGAAAAATCTCTGTACAATCAGGACTGGCTGGTTGTTAATTTCATAATGAAAGAGAATTTGAAGAAATAGTTGTTGTCACAACTAGAGAGAGTCTAAAGATACTATACCTGGCTAGCAGTTCATTTTTGTAATGAACTTACTTGAAAGTAAGAAATATGGACAAATGCCTCATGTTTTAGGTCTTTATTAATTCACAGGGGCTTGCCCACTCATTTATTCTATTACTATTATTATTAAGATTTTATTTATTTTTTAATATTTATTTATTTATTTATGAGAGAGATCGAGAGAGAGAGAGCGGCAGAGACACAGGCAGAGGGAGAAGCAGGCTCCATGCAGGGAGCCCGACGTGGGACTCGATCCCGGGTCTCCAGGATGATGCCCCGGGCTGAAGGCGGTGCTAAACCGCTGAGCCACCGGGGTGCCCAAGATTTTATTTTTAAGTAATCTCTACACCCAACATGGGGCTTGAACTTACAACCCTAAGATCAAGAGTCACACATTCTACCGCCTGAGGCAGCCAGGTGTCCCCCACCCCCCATTCATTTAGAGAGTTTTCTAAGCCAGAATGCAAAATGGGAGACAATTTTCAGGGCTGAACACAGGAAAGTATCTGTAATCCACTTCACAATATCCTTACCTTGGAAACAAAGTACCAAGTTTAAAATTCTGTCTCAGTAGACTTGCCCTTTTTCTAGGTCATACCTGGGCTTAGTTGAGCTAAAGGATAAAACGATAGCTAAAGCAAAGGCCAGACCCAGTGTGGGAGCTGGCCAAAGTGAGGATCATCAAGTGTATTCATTGGAATCCAGATCCTGTTTCAGTTACAATCTCGGAACCGGAACTTGAAAAACAATGATTTAAAATCTCTTTCACTGGGGGAAGGAGGGGAGATTATACATGCGCCTGTTGAAGCATAAATACTTCTGGAGGGTATACAATGGTGCTTTCCTGTGGAGGCAAGAACATAAGGATAGAAGAAGGCCAGTTTATCAAACACCTCTTTATACTTTTTGAATTTTGAACTACGTGAATGTATTATTATCTAATCACAAACATTCAATAAATTGCAAAAGTAAAATAAAATATTTCCCACCCCCAGACACCACCTGCACAGGACAATTTTGTTCTTAGTACCTCAATCCCCTTCTCTCTTACCTCTTGGCTGCCTGTTGACAGCTGCCTGGAGGTAGTACTGAGCCTGGTCATAGTCCTGCAGATGAAAGAAGGCCACGCCAGCCCGATACAAGGCCTTCGCATTATTGGGTTGTCGTTCCAGGACTTTCTGACTGTATTCTTTCACTCGTTCGTAGTTTACTGGCTCCATCTGAAGGAGACAGGCTAACAGGCCAAATGAAAGGACGAACAGAAGAGGGAGGAGGGGTTAATTACACTCAGTTCCACTGACCAACTGGAGACAGCACCAGAGGACAATACCAACAATATGCACTCATCTGATTCATTCATCTACGTGTCTACCTGGTGTCAGACATTCTTCTAGATACTAGGACTCCCACAGTGAACAGCTTTACATACCTTATAACTGGCTTTAATAACTACTGAATATGGGATGCCTGGGTGGCTCACTGGTTGGGCATCTGCCTTTGGCTCAGGTCATGATCCTGGGGTCCTGGGATCCAGTCTTGCATTGGGCTCCCCATGGTGAGCCTGCTTTGCCCCCTGCCTGTGTCTCTGCCTCTCTCTCTCTGTCTTTCATGAATAAATAAATAAAATCTTAAAAAAAAAAATTGGGATGCCTGGGTGGCTAGTGGTTGAGCATCTGCCTTTGGCTAAGGGTGTGATCCCGGAGTCCTAGGATTGAGTCCCATGTCGGGCTTCCTGCATGGAGCCTTCTCTCTCTGCCTATGTCTCTGCCTCTCTCTCCCTCTATGTCTCTCATGAATAAATAAATAAAATCTTAAAAAACAAACAAGCAAACTACTGAATGCTTACTATGTGCCTAGTGCTGGGTTAGGTCCAGCTATAAAACTGAGAGGAACATACTTTAAAATTTGAAATGTTTCTTATTTCTGTCTTGAACCCCCATTTAACCACAATTATTATTGTACTGCAGCTTTTTAAAAAGATCGTATTTATTTGAAAGACAGAGAGAGAGGGAGCACAAGCAAGGAGAGGGACAAAGGGAGAGGGAGAAGCAGGCTCCCTGCTGAGCAGGGTGCCCAACTTGGAGCTCGATCCCAGGATCCTGAGATCATGTCCTGAGCCAAAGGCAGACATTTAATTGACTAAGCCACCCAGGCGCCCCGTACTATAGCTTTATAAACAACAAGCATTGCCATCAATTGTGTGAACAAAAAAAAAAAAAAAATTGTGTGAACAAGTAGTAAGCACTGTGCTTTGTACTTGACAAAACATTATCTCATTTAATCATCTCATCCACTATGAATTTGGTGCTACTATCTTGATGTAACGGACAAAGAAATCAAGGTTCGGAGAGATGAAGGAACTTGCCCAAGATCCTACAGCTTCTAGGTGGAATATGAAATTTGAACCAAGGACTCTCTAATTAATTCATCGTTCTTTTTCTCTTTAAGATTTATTTCCTTATCTATAAAATGGTGATATGATAAAACTTGATAAAATTTTTTAAAATATTTTTTTATTCATGATAGACATAGAGAGAGAGAGGCAGAGACACAGGCAGAGGGAGAAGCAGGCTCCACGCCAGGAGCCCGATGCGGGACTTGATCCCGGGACTCCATGATCGCGCCCTGGGCCAAAGGCAGGCGCCAAACCGCTGAGCCACCCAGGGATTCCCCTTGGTAGAATTTTTATGAAGATGAGAGATATTGTAAATAAACTGTCCCCCACATTATAGGCACTCAATAAGTGAAGATGGTTAATTGAGTAAGTCTTTACGGAGTATCTCCTAAGCACCTCCAAGCAGAGGCTCTACAGATGGCTAAGCCACTTTAGCCTTCAGATCCACCTACAGAGTTAAGATACTCTTTTTTTTTTTTTTAAGATACTCTCTTTAAAAGTGAACTTTGACTCTCTTTAAAAATGCTCGTGCCTGTGGTACTCACTGTTCCCATTCTCTTCTTTATTCCTCTCACAGTGCTTCACATTATCTATTTTCTATGTTACCTTTGTTAATTGTCCATCTCCTTACTTGAATATATGCTCCACTACAGCAGTGCTCTTTATCTGCCTCATTAGACTCCTTTATCCTTAGTATCTAATAAATGTTGAATGAATAAAAGCACAAGTATCTAATAAATGTTGAATGAATTAGCTACTATAATTGCTATTACTGGTACTTGAGTCTAAGCATAGAGCTGGACACATAGTATAACAAAGCTAGATTTTCACCAAATCATAGGTGAAAACAAGTATAGTAAAAAAAATCACTTTTATCTTTTTATTTTTTTTTAATTTTTATTTATTTATGATAGTCACAGAGAGAGGGAGAGAGGCAGAGACATAGGCAGAGGGAGAAGCAGGCTCCATGCACCGGGAGCCCGACGTGGGATTCGATCCCGGGTCTCCAGGATCGCGCCCTGGGCCAAAGGCAGGCGCCAAACCGCTGCGCCACCCAGGGATCCCTCTTTTTATTTTTTTAAAGATTTATTTATTTATTCATTTCAGAGAGAGAGGGAGAGACACAGGCAGAGCGGGGCAGGCTCCATGCAGGGAGCCAGACTTGGGACTCGATCAAAGGTCTCCAGGATCACACCCCGGGCTGCAGGTGGCGCTAAACTGCTGCGCCACCGGGGCTGCCCCCAAAAAATCACTTTTAAAATAACCATTGTGGGGATGCCTGGGTGGCTCAGTGGTTGGGCATCTGTCTTCAGCTCAGGGCGTGATCCTGCAGTCCCAGGATCCAGTCCCACATCAGGCTTCCTGCGTGGAGCTTGCTTCTCCCTCTCTATGTCTCTGTGTCTCTCATAAATAAGTAAATAAAATATTTTTAAAAACTAAAACAAAATAAAATATAACCATTGTGAACTATAAAAACTAATCCTAATAATTCCCATGGCCTCGGCTGGGACCATTAGAATGCTTCAATATACTTCAAAATAATTTCATTAGGTCTTTGATTATTTTGCCTGCCACAGAACAGACATAAGAAGTCTCCTTTCTTTTAGCAGATTAATCCTAGTGATACTAACTCTGGCAATCATCTTATCCAAGGCCGGTATATGGATGATTCTATTTATCCAAGAGCTGGTTTATAGGAAGGAGGAAAACAAGGAAGAGTTGTCCAAAGCATGTACTAACGACTTACCTGAGCAGCTGAAGCAAATGCCTTCTTTCCTATATTTTACATATGAAAGAAACAATGCTGTAAATCTAAGTTCAGTGTTTTCCGCAGAGTGCAAAATTCCCTAAACTATCAGTACCACCTGGGAGTTTGTTAGAAATGCAAACTGAAAAAAAAAAAAAAAAAGAAAGAAAGAAAGAAAAAGAAATGCAAACTGATAGTCCCCCCCCCCACACACACACACCCCTCAGACCCACTAAATCGGAATCTCTGGGGATGGGACTCAGTTAACAAACTGTCCAGGTGAACTTTGAGAAGCACGGCCCTATAGCAACTCGCGTAGACCCTTATAAACTGGAAATACATTTCAATTCACGGCAGAATAATTACATGACAGCATAAGAGCATGCCCCTGTGTTTCCCAATGTTCACAAATTTTCACTTGCCTGCCCTGATACTCTATCTGCTCTTCAGCCCTGTTCTTACCAGCTAGATTGTTGTAGCAGTCTGTCTGGGTAGTGTGCAGTATTTTCTCTTGTTCAGGTGTGAGGGCTGGGCCCTGAGGTCCTATGTTAGGTATCGGGGAGGGCAGACTTGGATCCAGACCTCGCAGCTGAAGCAAAGCTCGATGGTACCTGCTTACAGCATCTCGGTACTTCCCTTCTCGGTAACGCTGGTTCCCTTCCTCCTTGAACAGCTGAGCCTCCTGCAGGCGCTTCTCCATAATTCTTTGTTGCCCAGAGCTCTTGCGGAATTGGGAAGTGAACGAGCAACTGAAGCTCTGGAGATAGAGCAAAATAACTGATTTAGGTAGCCGGCTTAAGAAGGCAGGAAATTACCCTTCTCCAAGAAGCCCCACAGGGAATGAGTTTTGCTTGTTTCTTCCAAAGCCCCTTCCTCCCTTCTTTGCAGTACTTTTCAATCTCTAGACGTACAAGACTAATCAGGAAGAGTTTGTGGAAATAGTAAAGCCGAGATTAAGTGACTTCTTAAAAAGGAGATAGCGGGGTGCACAGACCTCCCAAAACCAAAGGCCGTACTAACTGTGGCAGGCGTGGGAAAGCCGGCGGAAATTGCTTCCTCCTTTCTTTTGGACACACCTCCCTTACCCGGAAGTGGAAGAGAATAGGCGGGGACAAGCACTAAAAGAGGTCTACAGGGCTGGCCCGCACCCCTTCTCTTTATTTGCATGTATTCAATAGCGTTTGTTTGTGTCTTTGTCAGAAACCGGGAACCGAGCTGAACGCGTAGCTTGCACCCCAACCCCAGGCATAAACTGACGCGGCAGCAGAGCAGCTCAGTTCCAAAACCACGGAGCGCAGCGGTCAACCCCTCGCCCTCTCCAAATGCCCAAGCACGGAAACCCCCTGCTTGGCTTCGATTTACCGGCGGAAACACCCAGGAGACCCGAGTGGGTGTCCCGACAGTTTGGTGTCTAAGGGGTGGCGCACATTGCGCCACGCCGCCCAATCAAAAGCGGCTTCGGAAAAGTAATCACAGAACATAAAGCCTCCTAACTCTGGGAAACGAACTAGGGGTGGTGGAAGGGGAGGGGGGCGGGGGGTGGGGGTGAGTGGGTGACGGGCACTGAGGGGGGCACTTGACGGGATGAGCACTGGGGGTTATTCTGTATGTTGGTAAATTGAACACCAATAAAAAATAGGTTTATTATTTTAAAAAAAAAGGAGAAGTAATCCCTCAGAAACGACCCCGACTCTCCAGTCCCCCTACGGAACAAACCGGCAAAAAAAAAAAAAAAAAAAAAAATCCTCCTGGCAGCTTAGCCAATTGGAAGAATCCGGACGATCATGCACGACCAATCAGAATTGCAGATGTCGATTCAAGTTGGCCAATGGGAAAGCTAAAAGGCGAGGTCCGGGCGTCTGTTGCTGGGTAGAGAAATTGAAGGATTGCGAGAAGAGGGCCCGGGGATCACTGTATTCCTTGGTTTGGGGAAGCCCTTTGTGTACCAAACAGGAAGACAGTTGCTAGTAGGCTTTCAAGTTGCAACAGCTTCCCTCCTTTTTCTTTTTCTCAAGTAGTTGCTGCACGTTTAGGAGGTAGGGAAGAAAGACTAGCAAACAAGCCCTAAGACGACAGCGCGATCGGAAGCCAGACGGGAGTAGGGGTGGTGACGGGGTGGGAGGGGCGAGTGGGAAGGGAGCTCCCCCGCGGCTGCGCAGAGCCCGGGGCTGGAAGTTCGGGAAGGCGGGCGCGCACACGCCTCGGTGCTACGAGGCACTTGAACTGTAGCCAGGCTTCCCCGTCTCCCGCTCCGGTGCGGCTGCGCGGTGAAACCACTGGCGGCGATTGGCCCAGGGGTGAGAGGGGGCGGGAGGGAAGGGGAGGGAAGTCCGTCGTCCTCGGCGCGCGCCCGCCCGCAGCAGGGAAATCGAGGGGGCAGGAAAGGAAGCAGTTCCCCGTTGCGTTGTTTTGGGCTCGGTGAGCCGAAAGGGGGAGGGGAGAAGAAGGGAGAAACAAACACTACGTCGCAGAGGCTGCGCGCGGCCTTCGCTGCCTGCGTGCGTACGTGCGTGCGCTCGCTCGCGCGGGCTCAGTGCTGGCGCGTGAGGCGGAGGCGGGCGGCGGCGGCGCCTGCGCGGTCGGGCTCGGTCGACGGTTCGCAGGGGAGGAGGCGGCGGGAGGCGGAGGAGGCGGCGGCGGCGGCGATGGAGGTGAAGCGGCTGAAAGTGACCGAGCTGCGGTCGGAGCTGCAGCGGCGGGGCCTGGACTCGCGCGGCCTCAAGGTAGATCTGGCGCAGCGGCTGCAGGAGGCGCTAGACGCCGAGATGCTGGAGGACGAGGCCGGCGGTGGCGGGGCCGGGCCCGGCGGGGCCTGCAAGGCGGAGCCTCGGCCTGTGGCCGCGTCGGGCGGTGGCCCGGGCGGGGACGAGGAGGACGACGAAGAGGAGGAGGAGGAGGACGAGGAGGCGCTGCTTGAGGACGAGGACGAAGAGCCACCCCCTGCCCAGGCGTCGGGCCAGGCCGCGCAGCCGCCGCCGGAGCCCCCGGAGGCGGCAGCCATGGAGGCCGCGGCCGAGCCCGATGCTTCCGAGAAGCCGGCGGAGGAGGCCACGGCTGGGTCAGGTGGGGTAAATGGTGGCGAAGAGCAGGGCACCGGCAAGGGGGAGGAAGACGAGCCAGAGGAGCGGAGCGGGGATGAGACGCCGGGATCCGAGGCGCCGGGTGACAAGGCCGCAGAGGAACAGGGTGAGGAGCTGGCAGCGGAGCCCGTCTCCAAACTGCCCCCGACCCAGCACTCAGCCGTGCACCGCGGGGTCCGATTCCTTGTTCTCAATTGCCTGAAAGCGCAAGATTCCCGGCGCCTTTTGGTGGGAGTTCCCAGGGGAGTTGGCTTTCATTCTTTGCCCACCTTGCTGGAGGGTTTGACTGCCCCTGGTGGCCCCGCTCTCTGCAGGAGAGAGTTTCCTGCCTAACTTGGTTCCTTAGTGGTAGTGGATGGAAGTAATTTTGCATGGAACTGCTTGTGAGCTACCTGTGGAGCAGCCTGTCGCGGTATTGGTTATCTCTTCCTTAAGCGGGAATGCGCTGAGAAATTAGTGCTTACTCGGACGGCCAGACCGGACTGTTGGAGGCTTTGGCCTTTGGGTTACCTGAGTATTGATATTTCCGTTTTAAAAATATTAAGCAATAGTCTAAGTTCGCTAAAGTTCGCTCCATCCCATTGCTGGAGCTTGAGCCACACAGTGAATCTGTAAGTCTAACCTTGCTCCTGCTTTAGCAGCCTGTGGTGTGAGGCTATGGAGTTTAATAGTTAACTAGTGAAGAGACGGTCTTAATCTAGTGCATTTAGAACTAGCCAGCCTCTTGGCTAGAGGTTTTATCTTGTCTGAATTCTTATGACTAAATTTTAATCTTTTCACCGAGTCCATGGATGGGAAAATTTGTGGATTTGCTGCACACTTGGTTAGTCTTTTACATTTTAGGTCCCTGACTTCCTGAATTGAAACGATTGAGGTGTTAGGGGCTCCATTGAGTAACCTGGGAAGAAAATGTGTGGAATTGCCCCAGGGAGTTAGTGACCTTTCTCTTTTCTTTTGAAGTGGTTGGATGGTTAGAGCTGATCCATACCTGTCTGTCAGAGTAGGCAGGAAAACCAGAGCTGTTTCCAAGTCTTACTATGAAGTGGGTTGCCTTAGTTCTTATAAGAGATTTTTTTTAGGCTGCTATTAGTAATCATGGTATAATTGGAACCCATTCTAAGACAGTCACATGCAACTTGCAGATTGTTTGCTCTGTGTCCTGGAACAAAAATCCCATTACATAACCTTTGACTTAACGTGAATCCCAAATAGCAGATAAAAAAGGTTTTGAGAGAGAAAAGACCCCTTTAAATAAATTATTATTTTAAATGCTTGTTTTACAAACTAAGGAAAATTTTCAGATCTTTTTTCCTCTTGCAGAGAATGTTGCTAAATATATGATAACACCTTTCTGCCCCAAATTATGTGCAGTAAAGATGCAGTATTATTTATGGGTCTCGTGTGACTTAATGGTTTGCTCTTGACAACTTTCAGTAAAGCCCATGGTAAAAATATAGCTTTGTATATGCACCTGAGTCCATTTGCTGTATAAGTAAAAGCTGTGAAGGGCTGTGCATTCTAAGCTAGAAAGGCAAACTCTTTAAAACACACACACACACACACACACACACACACACATATTGAGATATCTATATCATGAAGCTGCTGAAGAGTGATGGAAAATGTATATTAAGTGCCTAGCTTACATTGAAATTTGACAATCAAGAGTCTAAATTAACCTATGAAATTTTTAAAGACTTAGGGGATTTTTAAAGATGTCATATTGGTGGGAAAATCTGCAAGTTTGACCTGATTTAAGTAGATAAATTTAGAATGCAAAAATTGTCCAATTTTTATCTGCTGCTCGACTGTAATTAGTTCATAATCATAATGTCCGTCCTTTTTTCTAAAGTACCAGTCAATGACAGGAGGATGATCTTTAGAAATAAACGTTCTGTGGATGCAGTGGGAATAACCTGGCTATTCTGATTAGATAGATACTCAGATCCCTTTTTAGTTTCTATTGGTTCTGAGCTTATTCTACACTCCAGTATGAAAACTGCTGATTTTCTTTCCCTCCTTTTTGTAGGAGATGACCAAGATAGTGAAAAGTCAAAACCAGCAGGCTCAGATGGTGAGCGGCGGGGGGTAAAGAGACAGCGGGATGAGAAGGATGAACATGGCCGAGCTTACTATGAATTCCGAGAGGAGGCTTACCACAGCCGGTGAGGGAAACAGCCCCTTTCGTTGAAAGGAGTGTCTGCTCTGATTTTGATATACCTGATGTTGATTGGAAAGAGGGGTGGATCTAAAATCGAATAGGCTTTTATAGGTATAAGTTTTAGATTGAATCTGTTCTGAAAGCTCCTGTTGCTGTTTTCATTGTTGAAAGAAGCTGTCTTTTGGAATTTTGTATTCACTGATAGTTTAAAACGTTATACAGACACCTATTAAGGAAGAGCACTTTGGATACACTGTATTTGCTTTTTTCTCATACCCATAGCTCAAAGTCTCCACCACCCCCTGAAGAAGAGGCAAAAGAGGAGGAGGAGGATCAAACTCTTGTGAACCTGGACACGTGTATGTATAAGGCAGATAGGTTGGGGTTTTCAGCCATACAGAGATGATTTTGGATGTTAAAATTTCATGGCCTGCAATTTTTAAGAGATGTAGCAATGGGAGACTTGTATCCATTCCTGACAACTAGGTTTATTTGTGTTCTGTTGGTGGCTTTTAAGTGTTAGGCTTTGGAATAAACAGATTGCTTCTAACAGATACTTCGGATCTGCTTTTTTCTAACAGATACCTCGGATCTCCATTTTCAAGTGAGCAAAGACCGCTATGGAGGGCAGCCACTTTTCTCAGAGAAGTTTCCCACCCTTTGGTCTGGTGCAAGGAGTACTTACGGTGTGACAAAGGGGAAAGTCTGCTTTGAGGCCAAGGTAGTATATGCAGCTCCTTAAGACCATTCATTTCTTATTCATTAAACTACTATGTGTTGGGTTCCTGCCCACCAGTATTTTATTAAT